CCCATGAATCGCAGCACACCAGGCCTCCCTGTCCATCACCAACTCCCGGAGTTTACTCAAATTCATGTCCATTGAGTCGGTGATGCGATCCAGCCATCTCACCCTCTGTCGTCCCCTTCTCCTCCTGCCCCAACCCCTCCCAGCATCAGGGTCTTTTCCAATGAGTCAGCTCTTTGCATCAGGTGGCCAAAGTATTGGAGTTTCAGCTTCAGCATCAGTCCTCCTTTAGGATGGACTGGTTGGATCTCCTTGCAGTCCAAGGGACTCTCAAGAGTCTTCACCAACAACAGTTCAAAAGCATCAATTCCTTGTCTCTCAGCTTTCTTCACAGTCCAGCTCTCATATCCATACATGACCACTGGAAAAACCATAGCCTTGACTAGATGGACCTTTGTTGGCAAAATAATGTCTCTGCTTTTTAATATGCAATCTAGGTTGGTCATAACTTTCCTTCCAAGGAGTAAGCGTCTTTCAATTTCATGGCTGCATTCACCATCTGCAGTGATTTTGGAGCCAAAAAAATAAAAAAGAAAAATATGACTTTACTTTTAGAGGTACAAGGTTTGATTTTTAATTAGTTATAAATTACATTAAAGGTAAAAGATAAAGAGTGGGGAATCACAGAAATTTTGGTGAGGAGGCCTTGGAAATACTTAAGACATTTCTTTGCCAGTTTAGCGTTTGATTTTATGACATTCCTCACAAATGATCAGCCTCTCCATAAACACTTCCAGTGGCTGAGAGCTGACCTAGCTTATGAGGCAACTCGTTCCTTTGTTTGATAGCTCTAATTATTAGGAATCTCTTAGTACTGTTAAATATTATAATTTTCCCACCTTTCTTCTTGTTTTCCCCTATAGAAACATTTTAATTTTACTTCCCTTAGACATCCCTTTAACTTTTTAGCTTTAGTTATACAGTATTCTCTGCTCTTCATAGCTCTTTCACCTCTTCATTCCCTTTTAAAATTATGATCTGATTTGGTACAGAGTCACAAGGACAGCTTATCATGAAGCATGTTGTGCTTCCTTTAGCCTAAGGTTTTTTGTTAGCATTTTAGCAGCAGTGCTAAACTGTGGCAGAAGCTCCAGTGGTCAAATGAAATACTCAGGTCCCTCACTCACTCACCCCTTCAGATTTACAGCTGACAAGTTTGAGAGCTCCCTCTCTGCTTTGTTTTGTAAAATTGAGTTAAAGCAAACAGTCTTGTGTTACAGTGGCTTACATAAATGTTTTCATTTTATTCTAGTTTCTCAAGATCTCCTTTGGATTTTATTTTTATAATCTGCTATGTTAAATGTTCGTTTAAGCCTTGTGTATTTTGTATTAACATTCTTTGAGTATTGTTTTAGCTAACTGTGAACTTAACTTGACTTCTTTTTTTGGAGCTCATATTTTTTCATCTGTCCAGTAAATCCATCAAAGAAAGAAAGGTTAATTTGGGTTGAAAAACACCTGTAAATTTTTCAGGCTACGAGTTTGAATCTGTTTTCTGGGGGGATGGGGGGCAAGGTGGGGGTAAGGGTCTTCTCTGATATTGGACATAGATATCAAACTCAGCTAGGAAGGGAGTCTACCTGTGCCTGAAACACACATAGCAGTGTTGTCTACTTCTCTACTCAGAAACCTAGGTAACATTTTGAGTGTTTCTGAGAGCTGTATGAATGCTGTCTCAGTTGAGGTTGTTTATTTCCTCTTGTTCATGGGACCCCTTATTTTCCCCCAGGGTTCTATACTGTTTTCTCGTGGATAAAAGGGGAAGAACTCTAACTCTCCATCTTGAGTTTGGGGTGGGGTCTTGTTGTCATGATAACTAAATTGTTTTCATCTTCCTTAATGCCTGAATATCCCACCACTGGAAGTTATTCCTGTTTGTTGAAACTGTTGTTTTTTCTTGGTATTTGCCTAGTGGCCCAGTAGTTAAGACTGCATGCTTCTACTGCAGGGGCGGGTATTACATCGCTGGTTGGCGAACTAAGATCCTACATGCTTCAAGGTGCAGCCAAAAAAAATAGAACTTGAAATAGATAATACACTAATCCATTATCTTGAGTAGATTGTTGTAGTTAGGATTGGAAATCATAACTAGTATTAAAAACATTCATTAGCTTAAAGCTATAATTCATTGTTATTGAATTAATATAAAATTAATGTTAATGAAAAGATGATGAAATTACCTATTACTCTATCACTTAGAGGTGACTTACTCTAATCATATATATTCTAACAGATTTTATATATGGTATATTTTAGAGGCTCCATGCCATATATGCTATTCTGTAACCTGCTTTTCTTACTAATGATAGTTTTAAACACCTGTAACAAAGAGTATATTTTAACAGATTTTATTTGTGTGTGATATCACTACTTAAATGGTTTCATACTCCATATGCTATCCTTCATGGTATGCTTTTTTTTTTCTATTTATAGTAATAGTTTTGAACATTTACCTGGTCATTATGAATATGGAACTCTATTCTTGTTTTTCTTTAAAGAGTATATTTGTGCTATAGTTTACTTCCCTAATTCCCTGCTTTGCTGTTGGAAACCAAAGTTGTTGTTTTTTTTTGCCGTTGTAAACAACATTGTGATGAGTGTTATCCAGATAGTCCCTAATCACTTGTCTGATTATTTCTTTAAGATAAATTCTTAGAACTGGAATTTCTGTTCCAGTGATAGGTATAGTTTAACGACTTTTCATATGTGTATTGACAAATTGCCATTCAGGAAAATTGTTCTGTTATATACTCTCTACAGTGTAGTATAAGACTACCCATTATCCCACCTGTTTAAATGGAGGTAGACTCCCTTCCTAGCTGAGTTTGATATCTCTGATGATGTCAGGCTAATCTTTGTTTCTAGACTTTTGTCTTTGTGCCTTCTTGGAATGACTTTCCTCTCCCTAGCTGGACTAATTTTACTTGTCCTTTAAAGCATAAGTTTGGGAAATTTTTAAAACTTTGTATTGTCATGGCCATTGCTTGACCAAGGATACACTTTTCACAGGAAGTTTTTATTTGAAATTATGAAATAATCCTAACCTGGAATATAATATTGAAAGTTTTTCTTTTCTTTTTCTCTGGCCAGGAGAACAGTTTAATAAATGACTGTTAGCTAAAATCTCAAATTTTAAAATCTTCTGGGTCTTGTGGCATGGTTTACATTCGTGTATCTGTCTTTTATGGCTCAAAATTTCACACTGGCTGAGTTTCTCTTTGCACAAGGTGAGGGTGGCGAAAGAAGAAGGAGTGGAGTTTGACTGTCACTATTGCTGCCAAGTAGATGACCACAGAGGCCTGGCTTTGGTGGGGGTTAACAGAGGGCATATGGAAGTGCTTAGTAAATGCTGAATGACTGAGCTGTGAGGTATCTTTGGGAACCCCCAGACTGGTCCTGAGGGCTGATGCTGGACTTGTCAGAAACTTGCAGTTAAGTCTTGGTATGTAGGCCAAGAATACTACACCAGTGGGTTGAGCCACAGCATAAAGCTGAGGCTTTTCTGCTTTGGAGGTTTGATTTAATTGAGAAAGTGTCTGGGAATTTGTACCATGGTTCTATCCTGCCATCAGCCTAATTGGTTAGCACAACAGACAGTATGCCAAAATACTACCACACATGTCTTTATAATACCAGTTGGCTCATATATGTTTGGAAAATAGGAAAAGGATGTCAGTATAACATGGGAGTTTTGGATTCCTATGCAGTCTTTCCTGAACTGTGCAATAGTTCATGAGATCTGGGATAATGGGGTACAGTCATACCCTTTATCTGGAGAGAAACAGATCCTCATCTGCGAAGGGAGCAGGAACCTTTTCAGCAACATTTGAAGCAAATAGAACTGAGCACCTGCACCCATGGCTTCCTGCGTTAGAGGCACATTCCTGGCTTCACTGTTGGTTTTACTGCTAGCAGGCTGCTTGCTTCGCTCCTCTTCCGTTCATGTTCTCAGCCAGCTAGCTTCCCACTCAGTTGTGGTGGTATGCTGTTAGCATCCCGTGAGACACGCTCAAACCACTCCAAGATGTTTGCCTGGGCATCCAAATGATCTCCCCAGGTACCAATTATTGCTTTTGTTATTTCTTTGGTTATACACTTTCTTGGTTACAGAATAGGTTGTGAATGGTCTGTCCCTCACTCTTCTATTCCCCATAAGCCTTGTTATTTTTAATGTGAGGTATTTTTTCAGGAATGGATATATCACATGTGAGCAGAAATACATATATTTTCTTCTTGGATTTCTTTCCTAGTGAAAGTGAAAGTGAAGTTGCTCAGTCATGTCCAACTCTTTGCAACCCCATGGACTGTAGCCTACCAGGCTCCTCAGTCCATGGAATTTTCCAGACAAGAGTACTGGAGTGGGTTGCCATTGCCTTCTCCAGGGATCTTCCCGGCCCAGGGGTCGAACCCGGGTCTCCCGCATTGCGGGCAGATGTTTTACCACCTGAGCCACATAATAATTTGTTTTTATTAATATTTTTTTTGACCATCAACTCCAGCTTCTAACATACTGTGTTTATTTTTCAGAACTTGATCTCTTGAACTCATTTGTTTGTATTAGACTCTTCAAAACTTTTCCTCTATTCATTGTTTTAATCCCCTTCCCCTTCTCCTCTTCCTTCCTGTGCTAATCTTTTCCCTTCTCCTCTTTAGCTTCTTTGTGCATTTAATATTTTGCTTATAAGCCTAGGAAGATTTTTGTTTTGGGATTTTGGGGCATTTGAGAGTCTTTCATTAAAGGCACAGATTAAGTTTAAGAACTCTTGCATTTTAATCCTAAGAATTTTCATGATATATTTAATTATAATGCTAGTTTTAAATTAAAAGTTGTCAGTATTAAAATATATTTTATTATAGCAAATACATAAGAGTAAAATTATTAACAATATGTAAACACACCTATATTTTATATTTAATATAATTTATAAGCATACTTAAATATACATAAAATATATAAATTCATGACTAGGACTACAGATAATGCTAATTTTGTTTTTCTCCAGGAGGATCAAGATGGGAGTCAAGGTCTGGGCAAGAGAAAGAGGGTCAAACTAAGTAGTAACACCAAAGGTATTTATATTTTGTTTTTTTCTTGTGTTAAAAAATGCTTAATCACTAAGAGCACTTGGTTGGCTGGCCATCAAAGCTGTTTGAAGAGAGAGTTATGTTACTAGATGTGTTCAATTTGGAGAAAGTGTTGTTAGGGGATGATTGTGGGGGACCTCAAAAGCAAGTGAAACCCTTACTGTTGGGATTTTTGTTCATTGTTTTCTTCATAAAATGAGCAATATTATATTTGAGCCAGAAAAATAGTCTTTTCGTTGAATCTTTTGATTTGGATCCAGCGTTTTTGCTATAAAGCTTTAATTTGATTTGTATCTTTTTTTAAATTCAGGCTATGCAATTTCTAGAATGAAAAAGGATGAGCAGCAGGGAAGTAGTGTGGGTATGTGTCAGAAGAAGTAACAACAGTGAAAGAAAATGAGAATGAATGGCACTTAACACATATTAAGGGCTCAGTAAGGACTCAATGTATATTGATGCAAAGGAGAAAGTAGATATGCCTATAGTGAGGGAATAGGTTAGTAATAAGTAATATGTATTGAACTTTTGTATATGCTAGACATAGTGCTAATCACAGCATGTGCATTCTGTCATTTAATTCTCACAGTAACCATATGAAGTAGGTTTTATTGTTACTACTGTTTTATGAATGAGGAATGAAGGTGTGTTAGGTGTAACAGCTAATGAGAGGTAGGTCCTTAATTCAAATCTCAGAGTTTAAATGCTTTATCAGTATATTTTCTTGACCCTCCCTAAAAGCTTTTTGAGAGTACTTGTTATTGGTTGGTAGCCTGTGCTCCATTTTTGAAATGGATTTCTGAATCTTAGCGTAGTCTTATTTTCTGGGTTATCTGTTAGAAAGTCTCCAGAGGTTAAAATGTTTTCATGAAAAGATTATTTTTTCTACTGCCAAGTGTGTCTTTTGGAAAGTTTAAGACTGCTTGGAAAGGTGGAGCAAGCAGACAGTTTCAGTTGAGGCTCATTTTGTACGTCTGTTCTTAGTTACTCATGTTGCTGCATTCAACTGATGGACTGTTAGCAGAGGGCATGAAATTTGATTTGCTGTCCAGGACGCACGCCTGCAACATGTTCCCCTTTTTCTTGGCCCTGCAGAAAACCTGTAATGCCTGAAAGAAATTAGAAACCCATTTGGCTACCTGGCTCTTTGACTTAACCAGAATTATGCATGTGCTTACCTGAGTCCTTGAGACACATTTGAGTTGGAGGAGATTGTTAGGCATATACTTGAGTTTAAGCTTCAAGGATGTTTGGAAAATACCTCCCGTGGTGTTAAGAGGTCATTGTTTTCCTTCAGCCTGGTCAAACTCTGGCTTAAGATACATTTTATGCAGACTTGATGTTGAAGTTTGTTTTCTTTACATCTGGATTTTTTGCTTTTGAGATGGACTGTTGTCCCTTCCTTCCTTTACTGGTAAGAAGGAGTAAAGATGTAAAACTTATTAGTTATGTTTGGTTTGAGTATGTACATTGAAGAAATGGCTTTTTCAGTCAGTAGAAACTCTTTCCAAGAAGTGATTGTTGCTTTTGAAAATGTCTGAAGTCCAGAGTGGTTTAGTTTTTGTAAGAATTTGATTCAACAGTTTGAAAGCGAGCTGAAAATAAAATATGTAATGATGGACAAGAGGAGAGGCACTGTGCTAACAAACACATCACTACCTATTTTCAAAAGTTCAGTTTTAAGGATGAAAAACTTAGCCCTAGAGGACTTCAGCTAACATGGCCAAGATGAGCTGGTGAGTTGCAGAGCCTGGACTCTATTGTCTAAATTAAAAGCTATCATTCATTTATACCACATACTGATTCTTCAGAAATTTCATTTTACAGTTTCGCTTGAAGTGGTTTTAGGTGTTGTGAAGGTCATGACAGTTTAATCAAGATTTTAAAGGTAATAATCATACATAAGTAATAAAAGCATTTCTAACCAGATTTCTATAACATAATGTATAAAACACATAACACATGCTTTAAATATCTTGGGAAACTGGTATCTTTTAAGAATGACAGTGAAGACATTGTGGTTCACCCCCCCCCCCAACTTTTATGTCTGAAGATAGAAAAATTGGATTGTACATAACAGCAGCTATTTTCATTATAATAGAAGGCACAGCTTTTCTGGTGTATTCGATTATTTTATTTATTTAAAACAAAGTTAATATATCTTTAATTTTTAATGCTTGATATACAATTATAGTAGCTTCAGGCTTTTCTTTGGTTATACAAACTTGCAGAGAGTTATAACTATGAATTTAAGAATAAATACTACTAGTTTTAAAAAAAGAATAAATACTACTAGTTTTGTTCAGCTTTGTAATTATTTTCAGAAGCACTTATCTGGCAGGGATTTTTTTTGGTAGTCAGTGAAATTCTCAATCATGTTAGTACCAAGTGAATTTTGAGAATTAAATTGGCTTCAACAATGTGTGCTGTAGGTTATATTCTAATTTTTAATTATAATCTTTTTATTCCTGTCACCTAATTCATTTGACCCCTAATTTTATTACTTTTTGACTTTGAATCTGTCAGTGTGACCTTTGAATATATTTTGCCTCATTTCTTGCAAAACTGGTCATTTCTCTTTTAAATCATTGCCATGTCCTGCAAGTGGCAGGAGGAAGAGATTTCTGTTTTACAAGTAGAAAATTGTGAGATTTGAAAAATAAATAATTTTTATTTCCAAGTAAGAGCTGTGTAGTATAATTGTATTTCTATTCTTAGTCCTTCTGCATATGGCTTATTCTGAAGGCTCCATTGAAAGGGAGTTAGATGGGGGATTAGCAGATATTTTTGTCTCTGGGTAGTTTAAATCATAGTGTTTCTAGAGTAATGAATTTGTTATTCTGAAAATAGTGGTTGTTAATTATTAATGGGAAATTGGGTTAAAGTTGTATCAGATTTAAGTCTTATTAAGCTCAGTGTTTTACGAAAAAATCAAGAGAGTGATTAAATACTGAGTTGTTACTCTTTTAGACTCATTACCTGAGGAGATCATGATGTTATTGTTTAGTCACTAAGTTGTGTCTGGCTCTTTTGCCAGCCCATGGACTGTAGCCCGTCAGGCTCCTCTGTCCATAGGGTTTTCCAGGTAAGAATCCTGGAGTGGGTTGCCATTTCCTCCTCCAGAGGATCTTCCTGACCCTGGGATCAAACTTGCCTCTCTTGAGTCTGCTATATTGGAAGGCAGATTCTTTACCACTGAGCCACCTATGATATGAACACTTTACTCAATAATAGAAGAACTGTAACATGGGGATAGGATTGGGGTAGGGTTAATTAAAAAATTCTGCAAGATTACCCTGGAAGACTACTTGACATGTAATTAGTTAGGACTGTACCTGAGTATTTTGATTCATGTGATACTGGTTTTTCAGATCTCTTATCTGACTGTAGTTCTTGCTTAAGCACTGAACCAGTCCATAGTTGACACTTGATGCCCTTATATAGAGTTGATGATTCAGAGCAGTATCCCAAGATAGTTTGCTTTAGTAAAGATTAATAGAATTTTCTAGTTCATTTTGAGGGGTAAAAGAGAACTAAAGTATTAAAAACGTTCAATTCACACTTTGCTGTACACCTTGAAACAACACAGCATTGGTAATCAAATATATTCCAGTGTAAAATTTTAAAAAATTCAGTTCCTCGTGTACCAGTTGAGACCTTTCTATTGATTCAGCAAGGTAAGGAGGCAGAGATAAGCAGGAGAGAGCCTAAGGTGTGCACTCCTCAAGGAGTGGCACTTGGCTTTAGAAATAGGCTTTCCAGGAGTTAATTTATTCCCCCTTTGAATACCTTTTAATTCAAAAGGGACATCCATTTCCTGTTTCCTCTATGTATGAAGAGGACGTCTTGAATCCAGTGCAAGTAAACATAGCTAACATTCTATATGTTTCCTGGTATGTTCCTACCAGAAGAGAGTAAATGCCTTTGTATATTAGAGTAAGCAGTGCACTAATGATTATTTTCTCTAGTGAAGTTAGCATTTCATTTATGAAGGATAATTTTAAAGAAATAGATAAATTATCCTATAAAGATTTTTCAAAACAAAATCAGAGTTTGTCCTTAATAGTATGTTTTTAGTTTAAAATTATTACTATTTAAATTATGTGCTATGAATATTGTTCTTGTAAGATAATTGTTTTAAGTCATAGTAGAAATTTTAGATAAAGGGCTTATGCTTCAGTTCAGTCACTCAGTTGTGTCTGACTCTTTGTGATCCCATGGACTGCAGCACTCCAGGCTTCCCTGTCCATCACCAACTCCCGGACCTTGTTCAAACTCATGTCCATTGAGTCGGTGATGCCGTCCAACCATCTCATCCTGTATCATCCCCTTCTCCTCCTGCTTTCAATCTTTCCCAGCTTCAGGGTCTTTTCAAATGAGTCAACTCTTTGCATCAGGTGGCCAAAGTATTGAAGTTTCAGCATCAGTTCTTCCAATGAATATTCTAAAGGACTGATCTCCTTTAGGATGGACTGGTTGGATCTCCTTGCAGTCCAAGGGACTCTCAAGAGTTTTTTCCAACACCACAGTTCAAAAGCATCAATTCTTCAACCCTCAGCTTTCTTTATGGTCCAACTCTCACATCCATCCATGATCACTGGAAAAACCATAGCTTTGACTAGACAAACATTTGTTGGCAAAGTAATGTCTCTGCTTTTTAATATGCTATCTAGGTTGGTCATAACTTGCCTTCCAAGGAGTAAGCGTCTTTTAATTTCATGGCTGCAGTCACCATCTGCAGTCATTTTGGAGCCCAAGGAAAAAAAGTCTGTCACTGTTTTCCATTGTTTCCCCATCTATTTGCCATGATGTAATGGGGCTTGATGCCATGATCTTAGTTTTTGGAATGTTGATTTTTAAGCCAGCTTTTTCACACTCTTCTCTTTCACTTTCATCAAGAGGCTCTTGTTCCTGTCTGTTTTATGCCATAAGGGTGGTGTCATCTGTGTATCTGAGGTTATTGATATTTCTCCCAGCAGTCTTTGGTTCCAGCTTGTGCTTCATCCAGCCTGGCATTTTGCATGATGTACTCTGCATATAAGTAAAATAGCGGGGTGACAATATGCAGCCTTGACATACTCCTTTCCCAATTTGGAACCACTTCATTGTTTTATGTCTGGTTCTTATGTTTAAGGACAAGTAATTATTTTTCTAGTAACTACTTTATATTGAATTATAAGGATTAAGTATTTTATTGTACTGTGGACATTATAGAAACAACTTGATATTGTTAGTATTATCATTTGAATTATTGAAAGGATAGCCTTGATTTTTAGGCATATTCAGATATTTGAGGTTGCTGGGTTGTTGTAATAAGGCTTAAATGAGATGAACAACTTAAATGATCAGGGTGATAAATATTATTTTTCTTATGTAGATCAATCCATAATGGATGTTTTGAAACATAAAAGTTTCTTAGAAGAGCTATTGTTTTGGACAATAAAGTATGAATTTCCCCAGAAGATGGTGACTTTCTTACTCAACATGCTTCCAGATCAAGAGTATAAGGTATCTACATTTTTTCCTTCTTTTCTGAACTTTGGTCACCTTTCTTTGCCTTTTCTTTTTTTTTTTCTTTGCCTTTTCAATTTTAAATCTTTTTGGTATATTTCTCAGCTCAATTGCCAAAAGAGGGCCTACACAAAAAGCAAAGTATTTGAGATCTGAGTCAAAGCATTTTTACAGAGTGGGATTCTTAGGGTTACCTTTCTGCATGAGTCTTGGTCCAGAGAAGTTGCTGGGGGACAAACAAAAGCACAATTACCCAAATAAATATGTAGTTAAAAATTGTAGTAAATTCTCTAAAGGAGAAAGATGCAACATGCTTTGAGAAAATGTTTAATGGAGACAACTGAATTTAGATTGTGAGATTCAGCATGGGAAAAGCACAGAGTTAGTAGCTTCTGGCCATAACTGTTAAAGACACAGTGGTATTGACTCATGTACACATGTAGATGAGTGAAGTCTCTAGTCTCAGAGGGTGTGGACCCACCAGTTACTCTTGTATGGTTATGGCAAAGTTATACAGCCTTGTGTCTGAAAAGACAGTGAATCATGGTTTCGCTCTTCTTTGGTTTAAGAAGTAAAGCCTCTTTAGGAGTGACATTTTAATAATGCTGTTTTTTGTGTTTATGTCTACTTAAGAAAACAATAGACGAAGTGTATATGGTACACAAAAAAGAAAACTTAAATATTGGTTGGCTTTCAGATCAAATAGAAAAAATATCATTTCTTTTGGAGTAGTCACATTGACTCACTTACTGTTCAGTTGTGTAAACAACTTAATGATTTTCAAATGAGACTTTAGATTTTATTGCTAAAGTAGTTAGCACAGGATGAAGACATACTTTGACATTAGTGAATTGATACCTTTGTGCAAAGTGAAGATTTGTGTTTTTAAACCATCTTTGTAATTGCTTTAAAACTTTAATAATATAAAATGCATATTGAATATTTTTTTAACTATCAAACTATTTTGCAAATTTTCAAAAAAGGGACAAATGTAAGACTACCATCATTGAAATTACTTTTCCAATTGTCTTGGACATTGTCATAAGCTAATCATAGCTTTAAAATGCTGGTATCCCAGGTTGGGTGCATGAGACAAGTGCTTGGGCCTGGTACACTGGGAAGACCCAGAGTGATTGGGTGGAGAGGGAGGTGGGAGGGGGGACCGGGATGGGGAATACATGTAAATCCATGGCTGATTCATGTCAATGTATGACGAAAACCACTGCAATGATGTAAAGTAATTAGCCTCCAACTAATAAAAATAAATGGAAAAAAAAATTTAAAAAAAATGCTGGTATAATATGTTGAAAATGTGTTATCTAACTTAAACTTTGTTTTTTTCTTTCTGTTTAAAACATTTTACAGGTTGCTTTTACAAAAACTTTTGTTCAGCATTATGCTTTCATTATGAAGACACTGAAGAAAAGTCATGAATCAGATACTATGTCTAACAGAATTGTGCATATTAGTGTTCAGTTGTTCAGTAATGAAGAGCTAGCCAGACAGGTAACAGAAGAATGTCAGCTGCTGGATATTATGGTCACTGTGCTGTTATACATGATGGAAAGTTGCCTTATTAAAAGTGAGCTACAAGGTAAACTCAGAATTATTTTCACTGGTTTTATAAGTACACTTTGCATAACTAGCCTTAAAAATTCTTTTTATGCTTAAAAGTAACTTTTAAAAATATTACAAAATAATACATATTTGTTAAAGCTTGAAAAATTTTAGCAAAATTTAAAGAAAAAACTTTAAATACGGTTTTGTTATTCACAAACAGCTTGTTAACATCTTGGGATGTTTCATTTCTTTTTGTGAGCTGAGTATTTTTGTAGATAAGAATATGTACTTTAAAATATTCTGTCAAGTATACACATTAAGAACATGTTTTTAATGATTGCAGATAGTAATATCATATGACTTTAACTTATTTAACCATTTTCTTATTAGATATATTTCTATTTCTGCAATCATGAATTTGTTATTGTCAGCTTTAGACATTTTATATGTGTATACTTTTATAATTTAAAAGTTGAAGTAAATCTTACCTTTTATATGTTCTTTAATGTGATCTTTAATTTTCTTCTTTAATGCCTTTTCATATTGCCGTAACATTTCTAGGAATTCCTCTCATTCTTATTTCTTTGTGGTCTTTCTTTCATCTTGACTTTACCTCCTCATAATAATTTATAATATTTGAGTGTTTGCTATGTACTAGGCACTGTGTTAATATTACCTATACATTATTTCAATTAAACTTCTGAACAACTCTCTGTGTATGCTCAGTTGTTCAGTCGTGTCCGACTCTGCGACCCCATGGGCTGCATTCTTCCAGGCTCCTTTGTCCGTGGGATTTTCCAGGCAACATACTGGAGTGGGTTGCCATTTCCTACTCCAGGAACAACACTCTAGATTGGTGTTATTATTATTTCCACTTTAAAGATGAGTAAATTGAGGCTTAGAGAAATTGAGTCATTTGTCGTAGAATATATAAGTTAGTAGATGACAGAACCAAGAAGGACTTTGTATCTCCTGATGTCAGAATCTTTGTTCTTAACCACAGTACAGCCAGGTCAATTTTAATAGGACTTTGTCTTCACTTGTTGGCACTTGGAGCTAAATATAGAAAATAATAACAAACAATGCCTCAAATTTAATCTTAGGACGTTTCCATTCTCTGTGAATGGGAGACCTTATGCTTGAGACGTGCCTTTTGCTGTTGCCTCCTTTTGCATACGAGCTCCTGTTTTCTCTTTATACTGATAGTCTGCCTATTCTCAGGTGCAGTTCCATGGCCTGAAAATTTATATAGGGGTCAGTGCAGGCATGATGCCTTCTATGTAATAATAGCTCACTAATAATGATGAGAGCTGCCATCTTTTGAGCACTCACTGTATACCATGGTTTCTTTCCCAGTGCTTTAATATGTTTCATCTAATGTAACCATCAGTAATTCTGGGGAGTAGATGCTGTTTTTTCCATTTTATAGGTGAGGCAACTGTGGCTTAGGGAGTTGAGAAGTCAGTGATCTATGGTTTTATAGCTGTGAGTGTAAGTCTAGCTGTCTAACTTCAAAACTCATACTCCGCCTCACTATGTACAACAACTCTGACTTCCCATTGTAAGTATAGTGGGAGAATATATTATTTACATAAAGCAGTATACTTCTTTACCTTTTTAATGGAAATATTAAAAACTGCTTTGCATTATTTTTCTATCTTTGTGTAGGATGCCCTTTTCTTCATTAGATACTTAGCTGTGTATATTCAGTTCAGTTCAGTTGCTCAGTCATGTCCAACTCTTTGCAACCCCATGGACTGCAGCACGCCAGCTCCCTGTCCATCAGCTGGGTATATTACTCTTTTTCTTTTTTGAAATAGTATCTGTCATTGTTGAACTGTATCAATGATATTCTTATACATAGAATTATATAATTAGAAAAGGACTTTTCACAAATACAGCATTTTTAATTTATAAACTGGCAAACTTGAAAAAATGAAAAGTATCTACTCTTCTCAAAAGAACTGAATCTTTTTTCTTGACTAAGTGGTTTAGCAGTGCTTATTATGTATGGCTTGTGTTTTAGAGAAGAATGTTTGGGAAGAAGATGTATATGAGTCTGCCTCCCATTTTTTTTTCCTAGCCAGCTTTCCTGTGAGAGTTTTTGTGTTTGTTTCCTTAACTTCCAGTCACTCACTAACACACCTCCATCTAGTGTTTGTTGCCATCGTTCTGTTGCTTCTCCAGAATTGTCCAGGACTCCGTTAGCCACATGTCCTACTTTTCCTAGAACTGCTCTAGGTTATGCCTGTTATTTTGACATCAATTTTAATACAGTCTTTTTTACTCTCAAAAGTGTTCCAGTTTATATGATTAATTATATGGTCACCCTTTCTATGACTACATGATAAAGCAGCTGGTGATAAAACTTTGGACCTTATCTTGCTTGATTTTCATTAGCATTTCACACTGTTGATTCTCTGTTCTTTGTGTGGTGTGAAATTATTTTCTGCTTTTTCTGTCAGTGTTGGTGTTTCTTGGCACTTGGTCTTGCTATCTCTGCGTTTCTTACTTTTCCAGTGTTTTCTGAAATTGTATTACATAGTCTTCATTGCTTTCTACATATACTTTCTTCTGATGCAGTTAGTCTGTCCTGGAAATTCTTACACAGATTGAATATTCCAAAAGCTAAATAGCTATAAGTAGCATTGCTAAGATCTTAAAATATAAATGTATTTTTTCTAGCAATAAATTACATTATTTCTAAGCCAAGTCTAACACTATCTTTAGCTCCAGTGCTGTTTTTGTTTCCTCTTTCAAAAGTATGTAACATTTCATGGTACATATTTACTGGTTTTCTAAAAACACCGTATGTTTTCCTTGTTTTTACATGAAGAGTATTGGAATGAGCTTTAAATATATTGAATTAACTACAGATATTACCCAGGTTCTCTATGCTTTTTAGTTTGTAACAGCCTCTGTCTGGCCTTTGTATGCATTGCCACTAGTGTTTGAAAATTTTGTCTATACTGTTAGTAAGTATAGGAGCTGATATAATGAGTATTCACATGGCCACAGCAATAGCTGAAGATTAAAAGGGAAAAGCCTCTAGTAGCACGTGACCCCTTCCTTATACTTTTTCTTTCTTATACTTTTCCATATCCCTGAAATTTTATAGTTTGTTCTGTGAAATTTTCTGTGTAGAATGGAACTTTAAACCATGTGTTGCATAACTATAGGAATGTCTGTAGTTGCTCATAATGCCAGATTGATCATCTGTCCTGAATATCATATTATTTATTGAGCTATATTCTTTGGATGTCTGCAAGCACCTCACACACACAATGTCAACACCAAAAATGAAGTTCTGCTTCTTTCCTATTACATGTGTGTGTGTGTCTATAAGTTTGTGTGTGTTAGTGCTCAAGTTGGTGTTTTTGCATCACACTAACCATCTACAGAGCTGCCCAACCCAAAACCTAGGAGTCAGTATTGACTTCTTATCCTTTGTAGTTATAGTGACCATCACCAGGTCTGTCATTTAAATCCTTCTAAATATATTAGAATAACCAGTTCCTTTCATCTTTGCTCTTTATGCCAGCACCGTAGTTCAAGCCATTGCCATCTCTAGGCCTTCTATTACTAGTCATCAGGACTCTTCTATAATCACTTTCCACACTAAACATCTATTCATGTCCTCTCTGGCTTAAAACCCCTCTGTGGCTTGCCATTCTCGTCTCATGAACTGCAAACTCCTGAAGCTGACTTATAAGGCCATCTAGACTCACTGGTGCCACTTAACCTTTGCATTCTTTGTCCAGTAGTTCCAATCTTTTTTATACTGCTTCCTCTCCCTAGAATACCATTTCCTCCTCATGTCTAGTTTATTTGGCTAATCCCAATTTCTACATCATTCTATAAATCTCAGTATAAACATCACTTCCTCAGGAAACTCTTTTTCCTAAATTGTAGACCAGCTTTATTTGTTCTTATGATTTCTTGTACTCTTTCTATTACAGCCCTACCATGCTGTGTCTTCTTATATTAATCTCAGCAGAGAAAGAGACTGTATAAAATCTTGACTTACTTTCCACTTTATTTTCAGAGCTTACTAGAATGCTGGACTCTCGGTAGGAGCTCAGTAAATATTTGTTGCTGAGTGAATATCATCTAACACTGAATCACGGTTCTCTCTGTATCTATATTTGGAAAAGTATCAGTTGGATAAAAATAGAAGTTCTAGTCATTTTGTTTCATTATAGATTCCAAGGTATTTTTCACAAGAACAGTAGTATTTAAAGCAGTGTCAGGAAAATAGTGATTTTGATTAATTGTATTCCGCTTATTCATCCTCTGATTTCAATTAAACAGTGATTCTCAGTATTTATAAAAGTTAAAAAAATCTCAGCATCCCTAAGCACTGTCCCATCAAAATCAACTGCTCACTGACTCATAATGGCTGTAGTTGTCAGAGAACATTTCCGAATCTTCAGTTCAGTTCAGTTCAGTCACTCAGTCGTGTCTGACTCTTTGCAACCCCATGAACCGCAGTGCGCCAGGCCTCCCTGTCCATCACCAACTCCTAGCGTTTACTTAAACTCATGTCCATTGAGTCGGTGATGCCATCCAATCATCTCATCCTTCTGCCCTCAATCTTTCCCAGCATCAGGGTCTTTTCCAATGAGTCAGCTCTTCTCATGAGGTGGCCGCAGTATTGGAGTTTCAGCTTCAGCATCAGTCCTTCCAGTGAACACCCAGGACTGATCTTTAGGATGGACTGGTTGGATCTCCTTGCAGTCCAAGGGACTCTCAAGAGTCTTCTCCAACACCACAGTTCAAAAGCATTAATTTTTCGGTGCTCAGCTTGCTTCACAGTCCAACTCTCACACCCATACATGACCACGGGATAAACCGTAGCTTTGACTAGACGGACCTTTGTTGGCAAAGTAATGTCTCTGCTTTCTAATATGCTGTCTAGGTTGGTCATAACTTTCCTTCCAAGGAGTAAGTGTCTTTTAATTTCATGGCTGCAGTCACCATCTGCAGTGATTTTGGAACCCCCAAAAATAAAGTCTGTCACTGTTTCCAAATCTTAGGTGTGGGTAATTTGTAAAAGTTCCCTTATCTCCCATTTCCTCATTCAGCTGTACCCTTTCTCATTCTATTGTGGTCCTGTTTCATATGTTGTTAAATTTGAGTTGGGTGAAATAATTTCATGAACTGAAACCTAAATTTAATTTATGGAAATATGAAGTACAGTAGAAGCCCTCTTCACCGATGAGTTTGACAATAGGGTGGTTAGTTAGAAAGTTGATTAGAGCGAGGAATTGTTAAAAAATGATACATAGATATCTTAAACAGACAATTTTAGCTTAAATCACAGGGATGCTTGTTTGTTCTCCAGTCTTTTCATTTTGGGCAAAGCATTTGTAAGTTATTGTATTCTTTACTGGAATTCTCTCTTATCCTTCTTGTATATACTACATTTGTAAAGCAGCACCTCTGATTTCCATTTTCAGTTTCTTTAAAGTAGAATAAGAACATAAGAATTTTTATGAAACAGTCTGAGTTTTGAAAATCTTCTGTACTCTTACGATTTTTCTCCTCCAAGATTTTCTTAGGCGCTTTTATTGTCTTTGAAAAGCTTATGATCCAGTTTTTATAATAGCTCTATTTATGCATTCATGTTTTATCAGATTATATACTTGTGATTTCAATTTTATAATACAAAGAACAATTAGTATGAACAGAAACAAAAACAGACTCTGGATAAGCATATACCTTGGGGCTTGTGTAGTCTGGAATAGGCTCGATTTTGAGCATTCTTTGTATTATGGGTATTAATGTGTTTTATAGTGGGAATGGGGGGCTTGTTTGTCCAGTGAATCAGTTAAGCTGGAATAGGGAAATAGGTCAAGAGAGCTAATACATACATGTTATAACTTCTAATAGTAAAGATTTTCTACAAGCCTAATCCTCCCTGTCTCTTTCTTCCAATGATGTGTTTAAACTTTGAGGCTTTTTTTTTTTTAAGGCTTAAGAAGTTTATGTATTTTTTTATAGTTTCATAACTCAATATTATGTAATATGTTTGACAGGTAGTAATAATAATTATAATGATGTGCTAAGTGTTATGTTAACATTTAATTCCCTTAATATATGTGTTTTTCCCCCATTTTTATAGGTGAGGAAATTGATTCAGAGCTATGTAATATACCTGAAGCCATATAGGTATTAAATGTCAGGTTCGGTTTGAATTTAGGTGACTCTGATTCTAAAATATATAATCTTTATCATTGGTAAGGCTATTTTTTTAAGCTAATTTTTTCTGGGTGTGTGTGTCTGTGTCTGTTTTAGATGAAGAAAATAGTTTACATGTTGTAGTGAATTGTGGAGAAGCATTGCTGAAGAATAACACTTACTGGCCTCTTGTCAGTGATTTTATTAATATCCTTTCTCATCAAAGTGTGGCTAAGAGATTTTTGGAGGACCATGGTTTGTTGGTGACGTGGATGAACTTTGTCTCTTTCTTTCAAGGTAGGAATTTCAGTTTTTTTCTTTTTTATTTAGTTTTAGTTTGCAAAATTACTAATAGTGAACTATCAGACACTAATTAAAAGATAATAGCACATCATTCAGTTACATGAGAAATGTCTCATTTTAATTGATATTTGTAAGTATTTAATAAAGTGCTCGTGAAACATATCAGAGTTATGAAAAAAGTCAAACTATTATATAGGAAATAGGAGTGTAATTTTAAAAAGCATTTTAAAGCATTAATATAGAAATTTTCTTGTAAGAAAGATTGTTAATATTTCCATAAAAAGTTCAACCAGTGCCAATTAAAATAGTTTTGAGTTTATTTAATATATTCATTTATGTTATATAAGAAAGAGATAATTCACAAAATGTTTTTAAGAAAGTCTAGTTTATAAAGAATTCTGAAAGGACCAGATAATATTTTATTTTTAATAATTTATTAATTTCTATACATATTTTGTCATTTATGCCATTTGTGAACATTAAAATCTGTTTGGTATGAGGAAGTATTTTATTTGATTTTGAGTATGGGTGTTTGTTTCCATTTGGCATGGTTTATACCTGTTTTAATTTTTGTAAGGTATGAATTTAAATAAGCGAGAACTAAATGAGCATGTGGAGTTTGAATCTCAGACCTACTACGCTGCCTTTGCTGCTGAACTTGAAGCCTGTGCACAGCCAATGTGGGGACTCTTATCACACTGTAAAGTTAGGGTATGTTGGAAATATTTTTGTTAATTTCTGTATTTACCTTTAAAATAATTTTAAGAAAAATATTTGTGGAAACATTTGACTTGTTTACTTGTATGTAATAATATGTAGTGTTTAATTTTGAATTCAGCTCTGTGAAAGTTGACCTAAGACAGTAATTATTATTCTTAGGTAGGTTGGACTTGATTTATATAAATGAATTATCAGATCTTTCTAGCCTTCCCTTATTTTAAATAGTCTTTGTAGCTTCACACTCATCTTTATTATTTCATTTTATCCATTATCAGTTAGTTACCTAATGTTTCTTATCTTTCAGGGGATGAGGATAAACTTCAATAAAGTTTACACTGTTAAGATTCCAAGAACAAAATCAATATACATTTCATACAATTCCCATTTGTTTGTGAAAAGAACCTAAGAGTATATAGCAGCAACATAAGTTCTTATAATTGGTTAAGAAATGTGAAGTTTCTCAGTCGTGCCTAACTCTTTGCAACCCCATGAACTGTAGCCTACCAGACTCCTCAGCCCGTGGAATATTCCAGGCAAGAGTATTGGAGTGTGTTGCCATTTCCTTCTCCAGGGGATCTTCCCAACCCAGGGATCGAACCTGGGTCTCCCGCACTGCAGGCAGACGCTTTACCGTCTGCGCCACCAGGGAAGCCCAGCTCACTTAAAATTGCATATGTTTTTGTCTTTCTAAAAAAATACATATATTTACCTATGCATTTTAAAGTATTGGTTTGATGGGTCTCCAGAATCCTTGGATAGTTCAGAAAAATGTTATCTCCTGACCCTACAAAACTAAGGACTTAAGATTTTGTTGTATGGATCTCATGAAGTCCTACCTGTGAGCCTGTACCAGTAAGCATACTGCAAAAGATTGTATAGTGCTTTTGGTTCTGCCTCTTTCAACTTAGGTGACTTGGTCAACTCATTTAAAACTATTTGAACTTCTCAGACTTTTTCTTTTAAAAACCTAAAAGGAACAAAACAGAAATGGGACAGCAAAGCCTGCTGTTACAGGGTTATTCTGAGACTCTTCTACATATATTCTTTAAATGTATGTGTTTCTTTAAGTGGCTTTCTATTTTCTCTCATGACTCCAGCTTTCTCTTAATGCAGATGACTCACAACTTCGTTACAGGCTAGCCAGGTTCAAATTTCCAACAGCTCTGGTTATTCAGTGTAGAATGTCAGAATATTCTGGTATTCTCCTTAGAGGTACATGAGTTTTCTCAGGTTCCTAACTAGCTTTTTAAAAACATGTGTCTATACTGTGTCCTTTATGTCATTTTATGTATGGTGTTATAAATGATGCAGTTTTCCAATATAGAAACCTCCCCAGCTGTGTTCAAACTATAATCAGATACCGTGAATTCTCTCTTTTGTCCAGAAATGTCTCTCTACCACTTCTTTTCTCTGTTTTACTTCTTTATGTCAGTATTTTTAAAAATCTGCATTGTTAGGTAACTTCTTAACTGATTTTTCTGCCTCTAGGTTCTTCCTACTCTAGTCTTTCCTAATATCTAAGTTACTTCTGAGCTCTGTGCTTATTTCTCCTTTGCTTAAAAATCATTCACATTCCTTTCTGTCCACAGGATAATGTCCATATTTCCTGTAGAGGCATTTAAGAACTTCCACAATTTGTCTTCAGTGTATTTGTCATAATTTGCCTTCCTATACCCCATCTACCTCCATGCCTTCACTGGCTTGATTACTATTCCTCAGCAGGCAGTTCCTTTCTTGATTTCAGTGCTTTTGTTCAAATTAGTCTTTTTTTTTGTTTTGACATATGTGCTCATTCTTTCTGCTTAGTTCAGTGCTCCTTTTACATGAGAATCATCTGGGAAGCTTAAAAAATATATGTGCTTAAGTGTCACTGTTAGAGCTTTTGATTTGTGTGGTATACAGTAGGATCTTGGCAGCAGTTCTAACTGGAATGAAAAGCCATTAGTATTAGCTTTTCAAAGGTTGTATTCAGAGACTCAGCTGACATGTAATCTGCTCATTTTCACTTCTTTCAGATTTATGATTCTAGTCTCTGTTTATATAGTACCTCCTTTAATCTCCATTGTAGCATTTATTTAAAAAAAAACCTGTCATCTAATATGAGATTTGTTTGTTCATTTATTAAAAAAAAAAGTCTATTGAACGCTGTTCTATGCCAGATGCTATCTAGATGTTTGGGTTTTGGGTGTCAGACAAATCAATGGATGTGGTTCTTGCTCTATGGAGCAGTCTAATAGTGGAGATAGACATTAAGTAAGTAAGCACATAGACTTGTTTTGTAAGTGTTTGTAAATGTTCTACAGGAAAATATCAGATTTCTATGAGAATGATGAGTGTGGAGACTGATGGATTTGAGGATCAGGGAAGGCCTTTTTGAAGAAAGAATATGAAGATGCCAGCTATATGACGAATAAAAGTGGGATTAGGGCTGGTAGTAGGGGAGATGGTATGGAATAACCTACCCCCAATAAGAAATGATTGGTCTTTTTAAGGAGTTTGTGGCTGGAGCCAGAGAATGAGATGGAATTGGAGAGATAGGCAGAGAGTAGATTATTAATGCAGGTTCTTATAGATCATGTTAATGAGCCTTGGATTTAATTTTAAGGAGAAGCCAGTGAATATTTTAAAGTAGGGGTTTGATGTGATCAGACTTAAATTTAAAAGTTCCTTCTGTTTGTTTGGAAAGACTGGATTGAGGAGAATATGGGGAGCATCAAGACTAGTAGCAAATAGACAGTTAAGATGCTGTGGTAATATTCTAGGAATTTCAGGTTTGAAATTCAAGATGTATTAAAGGTGCATTTTGAATGTTAAAGATGTTTTTTGAAGGTGGAACCAAAAGGGTTGGTGATGGATTGTATGTTATTGATGAGTTAGATACTTTTTTGAGTAGCTATATATGGAGATAATTTGACAGAGGTGAAAAAGATAATAGAAAAGCAGGTTTAAAGTTTTCAGAGTTAGATATGTTAAGTTTGAGATGCCTCTGAAACATCCAAGTGGAAATAGTGAATAAACAGTTGGGTATATGAGTTTTGTACTTAAAGAACTCTGGGCTAGGGTGTAAATTTTAGACCCTTGGGAATAAAAATGGCATTTATTGCCAGGGGATGGAATGCAGTCAAGTTGGGAGAAAAGGGAAATGGACTTTGAAGAAAAAGTTAACATTTAAATATCAGAAAGGGAGAGGAGAGAAAACAGAAGAATGCAGCTGATATCATATAAGCCAACAGAAAAGATGCTGCCTTTGGAGGATTGATCTGATGTTGATATGAAAAGATCAGTATTTTAGGAGGATTATTCTGATGACTGTTTAGGATGAATTTGGATTATAAGACTGAAGCTATGTTTCTCTCTGTGATGAAGAGAAATCATTGTTTTCAGGCAGTAGTTATTTTCCATTTTTGGAGGCCAGGATTTCATTGTATTTGGGGTCCCTTAATCTAAGAAGTGAAGATGACAGACAGAAAAATGAGCTTATGTTATCTTGTAATACTTAAGAGAGGAGTTTGTCAGCTAAAGGGACATCTGGTTGCTAGATAAGATGTTCTCTTGTTGAGAGCCTATACTATGCCAGACTTTGTTCTTATGCTATATTCCTTATGTCATGTTCTTATCTAATCTTCATACCATTTCTTATAAAGTAGATAGTATCATCCCTTTTTTTTTTCAGAGGTTGAACAACTCACCCACATTTACACAACTACAAGTAGAAGCTTGAGTTTGAAAACAAATCCATCTGATTTCAGAGCCAGTGCTTTTTATCACTTTGTGGTAATTGTCTCTTAAATAGGAATGTCTAGAGTTTTTTAACAGCAGTGTTGTCAGGTTTTAGAAATGTAAACTAGAAAAAAAGAATATTATTTTTAAAAAGCTGTTTCTTTATGTTTTTTTAATTATAAAATGTAAAACTAAAGGATTAGCAATAAAAAAGGGAACTTCACCTGATAGCTTACTTTCTTTGTATGATTGCCTTGTATGCTATTTGGTTCTTAAAAATGCTAAGGGATCATTGAACAAGTTGTACTTGATTAATAATGGATAGCTTGGATAAAGGGATGGTACATTTCTAGAGTGTCACTAATTTTTGCTTTCTAAATGGGAACAAATAAGCTGTGAAATTTACATCTAGTGGCAAGCTTTAGATTACTGCAAGCTAGACACAAGTTGAGTCTGGCCATGACTCTCTGGAGCACTTAACTAGCACTTGTCAGATATTGTGCTAGAGTGTGACATAGAGCATTGTATGTGCATTGTTTTCATTTGCTTCTTCCTAACAGTAACCTGTTTGACAGGGATCTTAACCTTTTGTTGGCATTGAGGCCCCAAAGTGTTTTTCTAAAAAACTTTTTATTGAGATAAAATTCACATAACATGAAATTCACCATTTTAATCTTTTCTTTTTAAACTATACAATTAAGTATATAGTATATTCACAAAGTTGTGCTGCTATCACCACTGATTCCAGAACATTTTTAACACTGTGCCCATACCCCCTGCCAAAAAAGAAAACTCAACCTATCAATTCCAACCTCGTCTCATTCTCTGGAAGCCACTAATTTCCTAAATAGTATTCCATAGCATAGGTATATCACACTTATTTGTCTGTTCATGGGTTGATTTCAGTTTTTGGCTGCTGTGGGTAATGCTGCTGTGAACATTTGTATAGGCTTTTGTGTGAGTGTATGTTTTCAGCTCTCTTGGGTCTATGAGAGTAGAATTGCGTGGTCATGTGTAAGTCTGTGGTCTTCCTTGGTGGCTCAGCTGGTAAAGAATCCACCTGCAGTATGAGAGATCTGGGTTCTATCCCTGGGTTGGGAAGATGTGCTGGAGAAGGAAACGGCTCCCTACTCCAGTATTCTGACCTGGAGAATTCCATGGACCATATAGTCCATGGGGTCTCAAAGAGTTGGACACGACTGAGCACCTTTCATTTTCACTTTCATGGTAACTCTGTGTTTAATTTAAAAACGGCTGCACCATTTTATATTTCTACCAGCTATGTATGAGAGTTTGTTTCTCTATATTCTTGCCAACACTTATTTTACATTTTAAAATTTATAACCATCCAAGTATGTATAAAGTATTATCTCATTGTGACTTTGATTTGCATTTTCCTAATGACTGATAGTGTTGGCATCTTTTCTTGTGCTTATTCGTCATTTGTAGATCCTCTTTGGAGAAATGTCTTTTCAAATCCTTTGCCTAATTTTTTAAAGAGAGGCTATCATGATTTATTTTTCCATGTAACTTAATACTTTCCCATTTCCCTGAATCAGTTTCTCCATAAAACATTACAATATTCTTTCACGTGTGTGTGCTAAGTCTCTTCAGTCATGTCCGACTCTTTGCGACCCTAAGAACTGTAGCCTGCCAGGCTCCTTTGTCCAAGGGATTCTCTAGGGAAGAATACTGGAGTGGGTTGCCATGACCTCCCCCAAGGGATTTTCCAACCCAGGGTAGAACTTGAGTCTCTTTTCATTTCCTGCACTGGAAGGCAGTTTCTTTACCACTAGCACCACCCGGGAAGCCCACAACAGTCTTTCACGGTACCCTTATTTTAAGGGGAACATAGTCATTTGCAAGCTAAGATATTCACAGGCTGTTTATAGTACTCATACATTCTGGCCTCTTTTTTTTATTGTGGCAAACTATGCATAACATAATTTTTCTTTTTTTACTGCTGTAACCCATTTTTAGGTATGCAATTCAGTGACATTAAATACATACATTCTCAATGTTGTGCAACCATCCATTTCTGGAACTTTTATTTTTATCATTCCAAAAGCAAGTCTACCCAATAATAGCAGTAGGGAACTTACATTTTTAGAATCTCTTGAAATGGAATCCAATTTACATCACATAAATTTATTTCAGCTTTGATTCATTTTCAGGAATATATTATATAGAGGGTGATATATTGTATTCTTTAATTTTTATGACTATCACTAATTGTTACTATTTGTGAAATGATTTCTTGAAATGGCAAATGTGGTTACTTTGAAAATATGTATATTTTATTATTTTACATATATATATAATACACATAACTATCTTTATACATTGCATATACTTTGAAGTTGAGCATATATATATATTTATATACTATAAATTTATAAAGCTTATTATTTTAGGAAACTCAAGAATATACCCGAAATGTTGTTAGATATTGCCTTGAAGCTCTTCAAGACTGGTTTGATGCTATTAACTTCGTAGATGAGGTATGTATATTTTTGATATATGTAGAAGCATTTAAGAAAAGAAGTGTTAGATCTCATTTAACCTTGAAAATAATGAATGTCTTTTCATGCGATAAGGGAAAGATTTCAGAATAAGCATAAAATCACTAGGCTTTAAAAAAGGAGGAAGTAAGAAACCAATTGTTTGTTATTTAGGAGATTCTACAGTACATTAACTGTATTTGCTTATCTCCTAGAGAAGGATATATTTTTTATGTTATTAAATGTATATTTCTCAGGAGTGAATATCAGTTTCTTTCAGGGAGGAAAAAGTGACAGTGCAAATTAGAGGAGATTGATGGAAAAGTTACCACAACTTTATTAATTGGTCAGTGTTCTGTGGGCATGAATAAAAGTAATTGTTATTGATAATAAACTGAGAAGAATTAAATAAAGAATTAAAGAAAAAAGAATAAAAGATTAAATAGAATTTGAGAATCAAACAATATGTCTTTTATGATGTTTAAAAGTTTCTTGTTTCTTAAAGTGCTTTGACATATTTGTTTCTGAAAACAGCCCTGGTTAAGTAGGGAAGATACTATTATCCTTTCCTTTTTTATAGATGTAAAATGGAGATACAGAGATATTAAATGACTTGCCTGTAGTTTTATGGCAAACTACTAATAATTCTGGGTCCAGAGCCTACATCTCTCAACTGCTTGTCTGGTAGTATTCCAGCCATACTAGCTGTTGGCAATGGAAAGAGCTTTAGAGTTAGGCATACCTGAGTAAAAATTGTTGCTCTGCCACAAATCAAGTAGCTGTAGACACAGTGTTGTCTTGACAGTGTTTTTGTTTTAAAGCATTACCGAGTCTCTTTAAGATAATACTATTAGCCAGTGAGGATTGACTAAGAGGCATGTATTTCATATGTGATAAATATTTGTTCTGTCAGCCTGAGAATGGAGGTCAGAAGGTATTGCAGTATTCCAGCACAGATGAAGTAAATAATAATTTTTGAACTGAATTAAGACAAGCAATCACTTAGAACACAGGATGGGATAAATTTTTCCACAAGTGTAGGCCGTTTAAGAATCCTGAAATTCTAAGTATCACTTCTGAGTGTATAGCAGAGCAACAGCAGTTAGAGTCTTCTCTCCTAAGAGGAAAGTAGAACTTGTGTTCACCCAGCAAATATTTATTGAATGTTTACTATGTTCTAAACACTGCAGATACAGTGATGAAATGGTTCCTAATTTGAGGAAATGGAAGACAAGTAAATGGCTAATTTGATCAGAATGCTTCTGTATAAAATTGTGACCAGGGTGCTGTAGGGGGATAGAGTGGAGCATCTACCCTGGGGGACTCAGGAAAAACTCCCCAGTAGGAATGTCGTTTCAGCGAAGTCTTATGGTGTGTTAATCCAGTGGCAGCAAGTTTATATAGCATTTGAGTCAAAGGGAAAAGCATATACAAAGGCACTACTTATGGTGTATGAGCTTATATAACAATAGATAAAGCCAGAGAGTCCTGTCTCTCAAGAGTTGGACAGTTAAAGGAGGTTAAAACTATAGGGGGCCGTTAAAAGGTGACAAATGGAGAAGTACAAGGTTAAAGTAATGTTTCAGTAAGACTACCACCTGGCAGTATGAAGATTTAATATGCATTTAAAAACAGATTTAAGTAGATGTATTAATTGAGCTTCTTTTTAAAACACTTTTGAGGCAGCCTGATTTAAAGGAGGGGTACTTTATTATGAGTACAGAGAGATCGTTCAGGGATCTTATGGCATTCTGGACTTCAGGAACTGAGTGGAAAGCTGAACAGGAGCTCTTGTCTCTTGCTTTTCCTTGCTCTTTCTGCCTCAATCTTTTCTTCCCTTTCTGTAGATTGGTTTTTCTGTGCTCTTTTTTTTTTTTTTTTTTTGCCTTTTTAAAACATTATCTTCCTATAATTACCTTATATTGCAGTTTCAGCCATAGTCCAAGAATCTCCACAGCCTTTAAATCCCAGTTCAGTTTTCAAGTGAGAGAGAACCTCATTGCCCATGATAGGATAGGGATTCCCTGCCCTGATCTAATCAGATGTGACTACTCTAAACTTGACTGGCAGGCTCCAATTCCTGCGTGTATGTATGTAGAAAGTGGGGAGGAAGGGACATTCTGAGAAGAAAAGGGAGGGTTGTGAGCTAGGCAGATACCACAAAAAGTTTCTTATAGAGGGTAAGAATAGAAGCAAAGGCTAGCACTGAAATCTGGGCACTAAATGTTGAGAGCCTGAGCTAAGGTTGGTTAGAGGCAATATGAAAAGAGAGGAAAAAGTAGAGTTAAGAGGTACTTAGAAAATCAAACACACTTTGATGCCTTATCAAGTGGAGGAGATTTGAGAGAAGGAAAGAGGCTACATTTCAGATTTGTATTACTGGGAATTTGCAGAAGAAACATTGAGAAAAATTGAGTTTTAGGGCAAAGATGCTGAGTTTTGTCTGAACACAGTGTATTTGTGGTCCCCATGGGATGTTAATTAAGTGTTGATGTTCAGCAGATACTTGAATGTAGGTTTTGGGGTTCAGGAGTGAGATTTCTGCTGAGATTTAGTAGTCATCTTGTGTTGCAGCTGAAGCTGTCAGCTTTATCAACTGAATAAAGTGTCTCAAATGAGAAGAGTAGAAAGCTGAGAATGGAATCTGAGGAACACCTCAGTATATTTGGAAGAAGTGATAAAAGAGTTTTTCAGGTAGCTTATTTGTGACATTGGACAAACGGAGATTATGGAATGTAAAACTGCAGAACAATGTATGTTTAGCATATGCTCAAGCCTTAAAAGACAAGATAGAGCCTATGGCTTAGCAATTAATAGAAATGTGTGTTGGGTACTGTGTTCTTTTACTTGATCCTCACAGTTGTCCATCTGCTTATTATCTTCACTTTATGGATGAGGCAGCTTAGGCACAGAGAAGTAACTTGCTCTGTTTTATAGCTATAGGTGGTAGAGTCAGGATTTGAATGCATGCAAACCCAGCTTATAAGAGTCTGCTCTTCACCACTGTTCTTGATGCTTTCAAAGGAAATTGAAGAAGATTCTGATTTAGCTAGTTAGTATATGTTGTGTTACTCAAATGATGATAGTAACATAGAGCAAACTTGTTTGATTTTTATTTTCGATTATGGTGAAATGCACATAAAATTTACCACCTTTTAAACTTTTTTTAAAGTATGCAGTTATTCACATTGTTGGTGCAACCAACCTTCAGAACTTTGTTTAGTAAAACTGAAACTCTGTTCCCAAAAAAACCAATCATCTCATTTTCCCTTACCCCTAGGCTCTGGCAGCCATCATTATACTTTGTGTCTCTATGATATTGACTGCTCAGCATACCTAAGTGAAATCATACAGTATATGTATTTTTGTGGCTGGTTTATTTCACTTAGCATAATGTCTCGAAGGTTCATCCACATTGCAGCATGTGTCAGGATTCCTTCCTTTTTCTGGAAGCCCAAACATTTATCAGAACAACTTTCTATAGATGTTTATTCACATGTTAAGGAGGATCTTATTCTCATACTGGTTTTGGAAAAAACTCTTTCAGGGATGGTGACATATTTCAAATCTTTATGACTCAATATGATACTATGTTAGCATATTATGAGAATGTTTTGGCTAGATTTTTTTCAACAGGAGAAAACTTTACTAATAATTTATAGAAGCATTAAAAACAAATGATACCTTTTAATGTTTCAGTTTTCTGGTTTGTTTAAGAAAGACAACTATTTGTTTGCCCTTTAGCAATAGTGTGGCCCATGGGAGTCACAGATTTAAAATACACTTTTTGTAATATCCACAAGATATCAAAGATCTTTGACTTGTACTGTACTAAGCTTTCCTATAGAGACTGTGTGTTCACCACTGATACGGGGAGCATCTCATCCAGCTAGGTAAGCCCATTAACTGCACTTCAGGATAGGGCTGTAGTCAGACCCTCAGATCATTCTGAATATAGCAGACTAGCTTCTCAGTTCACTATCTGTTAGCTTTAGGAAGTTACTTAAGTTTTTTAAAATTGAACTTCCCTATTCATAAAATTGGAACATTGAGTTTCTACCCCAAAGGGTTCTCCTAGGATTAAATTAAATAGGAATAAAGTTCTTATCAGCACAGTGACCGGCACATAGTAAGTGCTCAGTGAATGTTAGCTGTGATTGTTGTTTTTGTTATTATCATCACATTTGTTGTGCATGCATTTGAAGATTCTGAAATGGCTGACTGTAAAGGGAAATGTCTTCCATCCCTTGTTCTGTACAAGATGTGTCAGAGGATTAAAAGTTGAGTATATACTCTGTGCCTTTAAGGAACTTGCATTTGGTTCTTTAAATCCGAATAATTTTTTCTACAGTGGGTTTTTAAACTATAACTTCTAAAATCTTACTTTTTGATAAAAAAAGTGTAGGCCAGTAAATCAAGGTAGAAGTGTTGTTTTAGCATTTTAAAACCTTCTTTGAATTCGGTAAAGTATTATTTGACTTCTGGATTTTCTTCCTTTCCAGCCAGCACCTAACCAAGTCACTTTTCATCTGCCACTACATCGTTATTATGCTATGTTTTTGAGTAAGGTAAAAGTTTTCATTAAATACTCTGTTCATCTGTTTTATGAACATTGGGAAATATGTATTGAGTTAGTAACTTTTTTTATAACAATTTCTAGGCTGTGAAATGTCAAGAACTAGATTTGGATTCTGTTTTGCCAGATCAGGAAATGTTAATGAAACTAATGATTCACCCACTCCAAATCCAGGTATGTCCTTAGGCTTGGGCTGGCTGGAGCCCCCGGTGGCTCAGACGGTAAAGGCTCTGTCTGCAATGCAGGAGACCTCATTTACGGTTTCAGTGAATGTTGTTATAAATGTACCCAGTAGTCATCGTAGAAACTTAACTCTTATATAAGCTCCAAAAGAAGGAGTGTATAAAATATAGTGATTATTTTAAAATTATATATTTGAATTGAATATCCTAAGTACTGGACAGAATATCAGGCTTATGCTATGATTAAACTGTAAAATATTTTGAAATGATTGTTTATCATAACATGATTTTATAAAGGTTGACTTTAGATGACTTCTTTGTTCAATTAATTTTTGTTTTACTAGGCAAGTCTTGCTGAAATACACAGCAATATGTGGGTAAGAAATGGTCTGCAGATCAAAGGACAAGCCATGACCTATGTCCAGTCTCATTTCTGTAATTCCATGATTGATCCTGATATTTACCTGTTACAGGTAAGCCAACTTAGTGATGCAGATGTTGAACATCAGAAGTATCTCATTTGTACCTGTGGGATTTTAATTTATAGAGGTGACTAAATGAGGACACAGAGAGGTCAGTGCTATTGAAAGAAGAATTTTATTACTTACATTTTTCAAAGAAAGAGGGGCATGCCATGCCACGCAGGACCAAAGATTTTTGTCAGGAGGCAGAAGGAATGAGGGGAAATCCTAGATCAGAAGCTTTATTGGGGTTTCCATAGGAAAGGCAAGGCAGGGCTGGGGAAGTAGTTTAGCACTGGCTAGTTTGAATCATCTTGGTGAACTTTGGGGCATGAAGGCTATCCCCAGCTATCTGGTACCTGCCCTGGCTAAGGGGCCTGGGGGTATATTAGCTTGGTCTGTGAGTTAAATAAAGGGCAAGAGTGACTGGCATATAAAAGACTTGCTTCCAGGTAAGCTGTTTGAACAAATATGATACAGAAAATATGAGGAATGATAAACACAAGAAATAAAACCAGGGAATTCCCTCGTGGTCCAGTACTTAGGACTCAGTGCTTTCACTGTCAAGGCCCCAGGTTCAGTCCCTAGTTGGGAAACTAAGATCCTGCAAGCCATGTGGCATACCCAGAGGGGGAAAAAAGGAAGAAAAAAAGAAAAAGAATACTGAATAAATAAATACCGACTACTGAGAAATAAACTTTGTGGGTTTTATTTTTATTTATTTATTGATCTTTTAAAGGTTTGTGCATCTAGACTTGATCCAGATTATTTTATTTCATCTGTCTTTGAAAGGTAAGCATAGTTTTATTAATACAGGTATTAGGAAGTATTTGGAATTTAAGTTAATTTTGTCTTAACTTTAAAAAAACCTGTCTCAAATATTCTTTTAATAGATTTAAGGTAGTGGATTTGTTGACAATGGCTTCACAACATCAAAACACAGTACTTGATGCAGAGCATGAGAGATCCATGTTAGAAGGCGCTCTTACATTTCTTGTGATTCTTTTGAGTCTTCGTTTACATTTAGGTAAAAAGCACTAATACAAATACTTGGGTACCTCCCTTTCCTCCCCTTACCCTGTGGTAGTAACTGGTTTATTAAAAAAAAGGAAAGGATGCATTTCAAACTGTTGACACTATATGTTTTACCGTTAGTACTCCTTTTAGAATATTCTTTGACCCCTTATTTAAGGGACTGAAAATAGCAGGGTTAACTGCAGTTATATTGGGGCCTTGTTTTCTTTGCACTATGATTTTTGAAGCATCTCATTTTTGGTAAAATAACTTAATTGTGTGGTAAGTTGTTTCTTTATAATATATAAATATTCAGATATATTAATTCTATTTTTAATTTTAGGAATGTCCGATGATGAGATTCTCAGAGCAGAGATGGTAGCCCAGCTGTGTATGAATGACAGAACACACAGTTCATTGCTGGACCTCATATCCTTTTAACAGTTTAATTTTCTTTTAGTTGTAGGATCTAAATTTCAAGTAATATTTTTGGATTAAAGATATATCACTTCCTGATTAAAACTTTTTTTTTTTGAGATTGGAAAATAATATGGAAAAAAACTCCCGATTTTTTGATCAATTCTGTGTTCAAGACCAGTGGCAGATTTGCCTCTAATCGTCACCTCTGAGTGCTCTTGTTAGACCTTGTTTAAGCATCAGAACTGTTTGCTCTGGGCACTCCGGAATCTGACCTTCTAGGACAGCAGTAGTAAAAGGGAACTGGACATTTGGTGAAAGGCAGCTAGGTCTACTGTATTTGTATAACCAGGCTGGAATTCATCATTAAAATTTAGAGTTATGTCTTATAATTATCAGTTTTAAACATTCTGAGTATTTTTTTCTGAGAATTCAGTTTTAAACCAAGAGACTTTGAAGGGCAAAGACTATTGTCTACAAACTTTAAAAACTTAAGGTTCTCGCTATAGGACTGAGGATTCAGTGGACACTTTATTTTTTTTTTTGAGGTATTGTTAATAAAGTTTTAGACAAAGATTATCATGTTATTTAGTGGTAAAATTTGCTTTATGAATTTTTGACTAAATTTATTTTGTACATTATGATTTTGTTTGAAATAATTGACTAAAATTTTATGAACTGGCTCCTATTATAAAGTCTATTTGATAACCTTGAAGATTTTCTTAAGCAGACAACAACTTGATACTGTTTGATGATTTCATTCAGCCATTATGTACTGTGTATCAGTGCTGTAAAAGAGCAGAAGAATTATCCGTAACTTTGAATTTAGAAAAAATTATATAGCTTTAATGTGAAACCAATAGGAAAGAATCTAGGGTTTTCTGGTTTTCTTCTTTTTGAAAAATTTGGTTAGTATCTTTTCATTATTTTGAGGAGGATATTTTGTGTCTTTTATGAAACAAGCTTTGCTCTTAAAAATCTGGGCTGAAAAAAAAATCTGGGCTTATATTTAGTATATTGTCTTTGATTTTCTAAGACAAAGTATATAACATTGTTTGCAAGCTGATGAAAATGGAGATTAATTTTAAAAGGTTTTTTTTTCATTTCCTGAAATTGTATTCATTTGTTTTGGGGGAAATATACATCAGAACTACTTCAGCATATAATTTATTAGTAGGATATTAATTAAGCTGTCTTAGAAATAAGCTGTTTTAAAAATTAATCTGCATTAAGCTATTTTAAAAATTCACAATTAATAAAAAGTTATTATTGAACTGTTGTATTATGTAGCCCTCTTGTGGCCAGCTTTATATATTACAGCTGATTGAGTTCAGTTCAGTTCAGTCTCGTCATGTCAGACTCTTTGCGACCCTATGGACTGCAGCACACCAGTCTTCCCTGTCCATCACCAACTCATGGAGCTTGCTCAAGCTCATGTCCATTGAGTTGGTGATGCCATCCAACCATCTCATCCTCTGTTATTTCCTTCTCCTCCTGCCTTCCATCTTTGCTGGCATCAGGGTCTTTTCCAGTGAGTCAGTTCTTCGCATCAGGTGGCCAAAGTATTGGAGCTTCAGCTTCAGCATCAGTTCTTCCAGTGAATATTCAGGACTAATTTTCTTTAGGATTGACTTTTTTGATCTCCTGGCAGTCCAAGGGACTCTCAAGAGTCTTCTCCAACACCACAGTTCAAAAGCATCAATTTTTCGGCGTTCAGCTTTGTTTATGGTCCAACTCTCATATCCATACATGACTACTGTGAAAACCATATCTTTGACTAGATGGACCTTTGTTGGCAAAGTAATGTCTCTGTTTTTTAATATGCTGTCTAGGTTGGTCATAGCTTTCCTTCCAAGGAGTAAGCGTCTTTTAATTTCATGGCTGCAGTCACCATCTGCAGTCCTTTCAGAGCCCCAAAAAATAAAGTCTGTCACGGTTTCCATTATTTTCCTATCTGTTTGCCATGATGTGATGGGATCAGATGCCATGATCTTACTTTTCTGAATGTTGAATTTTAAGCCAACTTTTTCACTCTCCTGTTTCACTTTCATCAAGAGGCTCTTCAGTTCTTCTTTGCTTTGTGCCATAAGGATGGTGTCATCTGCATATCTGAGGTTATTGAAATTTCTCCCAGCAATCTTGATTCCAGCTTGTGCTTCGTCCAGCCTGACATTTCACTTGAGGTACTCTGCATTTAAGTTAAATAAGCAGGGTGACAATATACAGCCTCGGCATACTCCTTTCCCTATTTGGAAACAGTCTGTTGTTCCATGTACTGTTCTGACTGTTGCTTCTTTACCTGCATACAGATTTTTCAGGAGGCAGGTAATGTGGTCTGGTATTCCCATCTCTTTAAGTACTTTCCACAGTTTATTGTGATCCACACAGTCAAAGGCTTTGGTGTAGTCAGTAAAACAGAAGTAGATGTTTTTCTGGAACTCTCTTGGCTTTTTGATGATCCAAAGGATGTTGGCAATTTGATCTCTGGTTCCTCTGCCTTTTCTAAATCCGGCTTGACCATCTGGAAGTTCATTGTTCACATACTGTTGAAGCCTGGCTTGGAGAATTTTGAGCATTACTTGGCTAGCATGTGAGATGAATGCAGTTGTGTGGTAGTTTGAACATTCTTTGGCATTGCCTTTCTTTGGGGTTGGTTGGAAAGAAAACTGACCTGTTCCAGTCCTGTGGCCACTGCTGAGTTTTCCAAATTTGCTGGCATATTGACTGCAACACTTTCACAGCATCATCATTTAGGATTTGAAATAGCTCAACTGGAATTCCATCACCTCCACTAGCTTTGTTCGTAGTGATGCTTCCTAAGGCCCACTTGACTTTGCTTTCCAGGATGTCTGGTCCTAGTCCAGTGATCATACCATCATGGTTATCTGGGTCATGAACATCTCTTTTGTATAGTTCTTCTGTATATTCTTGCCACCTCTTAATATCTTCTGCTCCTGTTAGGTCCATACCATTTCTGTCCTTTATTGATCCCATCTTTGCATGAAAAGTTCCCTTGGTATCTCTAAGGTTCTTGAAGAGATCTCTAGTCTTTCCCATTCTGTTGTTTTCCTCTATATCTTTGCATTGATCAATGAGGAAGGCTTTGTTATCTCTCCTTGCTATTGTTTGGAACTCTGCATTCTAATGGATATATCTTTCCTTTTCTCCTTTGCCTTTATCTTCTCTTCTTTTCTCAGCTATTGGTAATGCCTCGTCAGACAACCATTTTGCCTTTTTGCATTTCTTTTTCTTGGGGATGGACTTGATCACTGCCTCCTGTACAGTGTCACGAACCTCCATCCATAGGTCTTCAGGTATTCTATCAGGTATGATTCCTTGAATCTGTTTGTCACTTCCACTGTATAATCATAAGGGATTTGATTTAGGTCATACCTGATTGGTCTAGTGGTTTCCCCCTCTTTCTTCAGTTTAAGTCTGAATTTGGCAATAAGGAGTTCATGATCTGAGCCACAGTCAGCTCCAGGTCTTGTTTTTGCTGGCTTTATAGAACTTCTCCATCTTTGGCTGCAAAGAATATAGTCAATCTGATTTTGGTATTGACCATCTGGTGATGTCCTTGTGTAGAGTCTTCTCTTGTGTTGTAGGAAGAGGGTGTTTGCTGTGACCAGTGCGTTCTCTTGGCAGAACTCTATTAGCCTTTGCCCTGCTTCAATTTGTACTCTAAGGCCAAATTTGCCTGTTACTCCAGGTATCTCTTGACTTTCTACTTTTGCATTCTGAGTCCCCTGTGATGAAAAGGACATCTTTTTTGGGTGTTAGTTCTAGAAGGTCTTGTAGGTCTTTTTTAGAACTGTTCAACTTCAGCTTCTTCAGCATTACTGGTTGGGGCATAGACTTGGATTACCGTGGTATTGAATGGTTTGCCTTGGAAACAAACAGAGGTCATTCTGTCATTTTTGAGATTGCACCCAAATACTTCATTACAGACTGTTTTGTTGACTATGAGGGCTACTCCATTTCTTCTAAGGGATTCTTACAATGGTCATCTGAGTTAAATTCGCCCATTCCAGTCCTTTTAAGTTCATTGATTCCTGAGGTGTTGATGTTCACTCTTGCCATCTCCTGTTTGACCACTTGCAATTTACCTTGATTCGTGGACCTAGTGTTCCAGGTTCCTAGGCAGTACTGTTCTTTACAGCATCGGACTTTACTTCCATCACCAGTCACATCCACAGTTGAGCGTTGTTTTTGCTTTGGCTCCGTTTCTTCATTCTTTCTGGAGTTATTTCCCCACTGATCTCCAGTAGCATATTCGGCACCTACTGACCTGGGGTGTTCATCTTTCAGTGTCCTATCTTTTTGCCTTTTCATAGTGTTCATGGGGTTCTTGAGACAAGAATATTTTAGCAAAGAAATTTGGAAACTAGAATACCTTATTAAGATTATAAGTCTGACTTTTAGTTATTAATTTTTTTTCTTGACACATGCATCATATTCCAGAAAATCCAAATCCTAAAAGTGGTATTATTCCAGGAAGTTATAGCTTTGAATCAGTTTTATCAGCGGTAGCTGATTTTAAGGCTCCTGTTTTTGAACCTGGAGGTTCTATGCAACAAGGCATGTATACTCCTAAAGGTATGTTTATATCTATGAATGTATTTTGTCAAATATCAGGTTTTTTGAAGGTTTGTTGTGTATACCGAAACAAAATGTTTGCCTTTTATTTCCTTAGCTTTGGCTTTCCCCCTCAACTTTCTTATACATGTATGTTTGTCTTTTTTAGTATATCGTGATATTGGTTCCTTTTATTTAAAAATCTGTGGTTTATGTCATAGTAAGACTTCTGAGATGAGTCTAAATTATAAAAAGAACTTTATATATGAACACCAGTTAATGTTTGTAAGTAAATGAACTTGAATAACTTAAAATATATACTTAAAAACACTCTGAGTGTATTTGCCCTTTAAATTTGATTTTGAAATAGTTGTCACTATCCTAAGTTTAACTTGAAACAGTTAAAAATCTATATGGAATGCTGATAATGTTCTCATATGTTTTGAACCTTTGTAAATACATAGAAACCTTTTCCTTAAATGATTGGTTTTCTAAGGTTTACCCCCTGGATTTGTAGAGACATGCTTGACAAAAGCCAGAAGTAGGTGAAATTTTGATCCATGATCTTTTCTTCTTCACTTTCACATATTCATTAAATTAAAATTTTGAAGAAAGTAGAGGTTATAGGTTTCTTGCACCTCTGACCTGCGACACTTGTCTAAGTGAAAAAATGGTGCCCAGTTTGAAGTTGTAAATAACATGTAGTGTGTTTGATAAAAGGCACCAGAATAAGCCGTATCATGTGGGAATTTCCAGAGAGTTCACAAAGGTAGCAAGAACAATCCAGAGTCTCTGGTTGGAATGTATTCCATTAAAGGAAAAGCACAGTATTTCTTCATTGTAGAGAATGCTTTGTAAGATGAACTTAGAAGAATGATGTTCTTGTATAGTGCTATGCTTATTAACAACATGTGATGTGAGCATTACCTTTGTCAGACTTATTCATGTTGGCATCCTTATTAAAATATAATTTTCTATGCCTAAACCCCAATCTGCTCTCATCTCGATTTCTGGGGATAGATTCTGGAAATCTGCTTTTTTTTAACCAATCTCTATAGGATGATTGTCACACAGAGTAAATTTTGAGACACCGAGGCAGAGCACTGGATATTTGAAGATTAGAATCAAGAAATTGAGTGTCATATTCACATATAGGACTGAATTGTATCAGCTAGTTGTGCAATGTTGAGAAAGTCAGTTTTTTATCTTTGCATTTGACTTCTTTGTAAAGTAAGAGTTGGAATGGATGAGTTGTTTTTAACCTTTTCTTTAAAGAGTGTTTAAATTTTTAGTTTTGGGGAATTAAGCCTTAAATGAATTTATTATACAAAAGCAATAAAAGCAGACCTACTCTTGTTAAAATGAGTGTGGGTAGTGGACATAGCTTCTCATCTGTTTTACCATTTCCTTGCTCCTAAAGTTGTTGTTTGGTTGCTAAATTGTGTCCTACTCCATTGTGATCCCATGAACTGTAGCCTGCCAAACTCCTCTGTTCATGGGATTTCCAAGGCAAGAATACTGGAGTGGGTTGCAGTTTCCTTCTGTAAGAGCTCTTCTCAACCCAGGGATTGAACCTGCGTCTCCTGCGTTGTCAGGCAGAGACACCAGGGAAGTTCAGTCAAATTAAACTTTACCATGTTTTAAATTTAAGATATACTGAAGTGTAATTAGTCATTAGAGTCGCAGTGGTAAAGAATCACCTGCCAGTGCAGGAGACGCAGGAGACCTGGGTTCGACCTCTGGGAAGATCCCCTGGAGGAGGAAATGGCAACCCACTCCAGTATTCTTGCCTGGACAATTCCATGGACAAAGGATCCTGGCGGGCTACAGTCCATGGGGCTGCAGAAAAGTCAGATACGACTGAGCGACTGAGCATGCACGCACAGTTAGTCCTTAGCGATTGACTTGATTCCTAAGTCATCAGTGTTTTGTTTCTACTCTCTTTTGAATGATAGCTGAAGTCTGGGATCACGAATTTGACCCCGTCATGGTCATTCTTCGAACAGTTTACCGTAGAGACGTGCAGTCTGCAATGGACAGATACACAGCATTGTAAGTCTGCTATATTGATTAGTATAATAATGGATATCTTCTGTTTATATAAAAAAAATTCAGTTATAACACAAATGTGATAATGCTCTCATTAAAGTATACTTAAGATCTTTAGAGGAAAGAAATATTTTAAGATTAAAAGAGAATGTGGCTGAGATTTATGTTCTCTAGAATCCAAAATCTGACATTAATTTGATAAAAATAAATTCTGGAAAACACTAATAAGCATAAAAAATAACAAACTTGGAAAAAAAAAAAACAAACTTGTTTAGTTGCTATTTGACCAGTGGAATTCAAAGCTTGATTTTGTGGTGTTCTACTTTTAAACCAGTAGAGGAGGCACAAGTTAAAAGAATAAAATGGTCTCCTATCAGAGATGATGGGTAACTACAAAAAATGTGGTAATATGGCTGTGTTCTTAACGACTGGGAAAATAGCCAAAATAAAATTAATTTTCTATGTAAATATTTAACAAAATAGTTAAAATGTTGATATTTGCAGAAAAGTTTTGAGGATATCTTTTTAATGGAGAATTCAGTTTTATATATTATTGTTGTAGATTGCTTTTTAATGTATTATTATATTGGCCAAAAAGTTCATACGGGGCTTTGCCGCTGGCTTGCTAGTTGAGAATCTGTCTCCAGTGCAGGAGATGTGGAGACGTGGGTTCGATCCCTGGGTCAGGAAGATCCCCTGGAGGAGGAAATGGCACCCCCCTATAGTATTCGTGCTTGGGTAATCCCATGGACAGAGGAGCCTGGTAGGCTACAGTCCATGGGTTGGCACAGAGGTGGACATGACTGAGCAACTAAACAACAACAAAAAGCCTGTAAGGTTCTTCCATAAGAGTTTACAGAAAGACCCACAGCAGTGTTTTGGCCAGCCCAATATTTCCTCTTGTTTTTAAACATTAAATGGTTAATGTATTGCTGAGCATTATAGAATATCATCTTTCATGTGTGCTCAGTTCATTTGTGCTCACACATTTTGAAAACAAGTTTAAAATGATTTAAATGTATTTGATCTTCAGAAAATATTTGTTCATATAACTATCAAAGTGTAAATACAGATATTGGATATAATTGAAACTTCTCTTTGCCAAGACTTTGCAGTAATAGATATATGTTGAATTTAAGAACCATCATAGATACATCTGAAGAAAGTTTATAGTGTAGAATTTTAGCATGCTCTCCATTCCCCTACCCCCACCCCAAGAAAGACAAAAACAAAAAACAAAACTTAGTTCGGCATTTCTTTCTACTCTTCTCTAAAACTCTTGGGGAGATAGCCTTAGATTCTCCTCTCTTAGCAACCTCTTTATATAGTTTTTGTATAGTTGTGTAACTATTTGTTTGATTTTTACAACTATTTTTTTACTTTTTTTGTTATTATTTGAAGGAAGTTATTTTTGTCTCTCTCTCTTTTATACCTTCAGAATCTATCTCAGTGCTGGCATGTAATAGACATTCACAGTATTGTTCATTGAGTAAATAAATTTGAAATTGTTCATGCTGAAAATGAAAGATGGGTGGGAGGAAGCATTTCCATGGAAAACCTAGTCTGGCCTTCATAAATGCTATTTGTTGTCTTGAGTGGCTCTGCCTTTTTTCAGGGGGAGTGCGTGGTAGCTTGTCATTGAATATATAAGAATTAAATATTTAGTTAATTTTATTATTCTGCTTTACTTTGTAATACATAGCAGTTTGGACTAGGATTGGCCTGAAGCTTTCCAGGCCTTGAAAGAGTCATTAAATGCTTAATGTAATCAGTTTTAAAAGTGAAATTCAATTTGACAATGCACATTTATTGAGTAAGGGCTTCCCGGGTGGCTCTGTGGTAAGGAATACATATGCCAGTGCAGGAGACGCAGGGCACGTGGGTTTGATCCTGGGCTTGGGGTGATCCTGTGAAGGAAGAAATGGCTACCCATTCTGGTACTCTTGCCTAGAAAATTTCATGGACACTGGAGCCTGGCAGACTGCAGCCATGGGGTCTCAAAGAGTCAGACACGACTGAGCACACACATGCATTTACTGAGTGCATTATTATGTACCAGGCGCTCTGTAAAGCAAAGAGAACTGTGGTCTTTCATTTTTCAAACAGAAGATTTTTACTTGAGCTTTGAGAAATTAATTTCCTTCATTTAGACCAGTGGTTCCCAATCAGGATGAATTTTGTCCTCCAGGGGACATTTGCCATTGTCTACAGACTTCAGAGGGCTAAAACTGACATGTAGCATAGGCTAAGTCTGGTCCTCACAACTAAGAATTTCTGGCCTCGAATGTCATTAGTGTCAAGGTTGAGAAAGCTCATTTAAACCTATACTGACATACAGGTAACCTTTTCTGTTTGTAGGTACTTTGTATTTTCTGACTTATTTTGTGTTATTAGTTGTTTAGAACCTTGTCATGTTTTGACTTGCAACTGCTTTGCATAGAGAAAACCATATTCTTAGAACTGTTTTTATTAAATTTCCTCTCTCCTATTTTGCTTTATATTTTTTCTCATTCTCTCATTCTCATTTTGCTTTTGAATTCCTGTCTAATACCTTTATAGTTTCCTAGAAATATTTCTGAAATGCGTGATGTTTCTTGGCAGTTTGAAAATCTTTGTTTTAAAGAAGTGTGTATTTTAAATGAAAAAATAATAACAGATAAATACACATTAGCTTCATATTAAAATCATTTTCATGTAAATCTGTGAAATTTTATGCACAAACTATAGTAACCCAATAATAGTTTGTATATTTAAAATAAGTATGGATATGAAGACTATGTTTCTATGTAAAACTTAATTGTTTTGAGATTTATTTTGTATATGAAATATAACATCTCTTTCTTTTGTTGATATGTTTTGTATGATGGCATAATTGACTGGTTCAGTTCTTATTATAACACAGCTGGGAAATAACCCTAAAGTGTGGGGCTTATTGGCTATTGGTCATTTTCATCTTTTAGTTTTAAGGAACAAAAGTGGTGAAGCTGATTTTACTTAGTGTGATCTTTTTTTCTTTTAAGAAGGTGATAGAAAGGTGTTTTGAAGAATTATAGAGAAAATGAGTAGGTAAATTAAAGCTGTTTTGTCTCCAGAATCTACCTGGATACTAGGCACTTTGTAGATAATCAGTAATTGCTAAATGAATGAAAAGTGAGTTTCTTAAATTTTTTTTGTGCTGAGAGTTTAAGTGAAAATAAGCCATTTTCTTTGTGTGATGCTTAGATCTTTGCTGGAAAATTGCTGGAAAAAGCCCTTCAAGATCTTCTCTCCAGCTTCTGTAGAAATGTCTTGGGGGCCATCACTGAAAGAGGGAGCTGGGCAATAATAGCAAGAGGAGGGCTAAAAAAGTGAAGGTGCCTCATCTCACTTTCCTTACTCCCTTCCAAAATACCCTTTAATGGACAACTCAGCTTTTAAAGTGAAAGATAAAACAAAACCCAACAAGAACAAAACAAATCAACAGTTGGAAAACCATTTATTCAGTTTAGTGTTATATTTTATATACAAGGACATTGTTATCCAGAGAAGTTCAGTGAAATATGTTTGTTAATGGCAGTGTTGGAACTATTATCTAGGCCATTTCCAAAAGACAGATGTGGTTTTTTTATAGTGGTTATTTTAAATTCAGCTGGAAAGCAAATTTTTTTGAACTCTAATTTCTGATACTTCTGTTACTTCCCATCTTGAAGGTTAATGGTTGTTGGCCCATGTTTTAAAGTATATCGTATGAGTTTATATGTGTGATTTTTGTCTCAAACTAGTCAGTAATTAGGTGTTGGTTTGAGCACTTAAATTTTTTTTCTGTCATGTAGCTTTTTGTTTACATTATTCCATTAATGATTTTGAAAAGAGCAGTCAAATGATGTTACCTGCTGCCTTGAACAAATATATAACCTTTATGTCAGAACACTTTATTAATCTAGGCATTGCATATTTAGGGGCCTAGTGTTTAAATCAAATGAAATAAAAGCTAAAAATTACTTTTCTATGCTAAATGAAATATAATAATTAAAACATTTTATTATACACTATTGGAATTGTTTTAAAAATTATGCTTATATGTAGCCACTGTAGCATTATATAGAAACCAGTTTTTTTTCTCTTTTTTTTAAAGAGTGTAATGACACCCTCTTCTTGAATCATTGATGCAACTTATTCCTCTGGTATGTTAATGGTATTTTTTTTTTAAGCAGAGAAGGGATTATTGCAAGACCAAGCAAAAAGAACAAGAGGCTTGTGCTCTAGAAAACCCCAAATTCTCCCATTGTTTTTAGGGAGAAGTTTTTATATGCAAAATTTAGGGGGAGGGCTACAGGGTATGTGACTTTTTTCTGATTGGTTGGTGGTGAAGTAATAGGGTGGTGCCCCAGAAATCTTGAGCTCATCCTGAAGTCACCATTCTCCACTTGGGTGGTGGCCTCCGTTCCTGGATATATGGCTGTTGTCTCCATTTCCTCCACATCCCAGGGATCCTTCTTTTGCTCCATAAAGATAACCACGTCTGGCTTACAGACAGGACCCAGGGAGACCAAGTATAGTTCCCATTGAGTGATGTCCATAAATTCCCACTCTTCCTGAGTAAATTCTATGGCTACATCCTGGAATATCAGCAGTTTCCTGAGAAGCTGCCATTTCCTCTTCTTTCTCTTGTCTGTATTGTTTTTTCTCATCAGTAGTATGTTGAGGAATCACATCAGCATCTTAAGAGTGTGCCTTTGCTCTCAACATACCCACAGACAGAAGGATCTTGAAATGCCTAAAAAAGCCAGCTTAGCCCATCCTTGTCTCAGAAGATATTCAGGAAAAATCAACTCCTATATGGAGACCAGACTATGAATTAGTTCTTTTCTTTTTATAGGTGTTCATACAGATGTCAGGAAATTCTGCTAATATGGGTATGTGGGCTGCACCAATTTTCCCCTTCCAAACCTATGTTATATAGGTTTATCAGGAAACCGTTTTGCCTCTTCTTGTAATTTTTTTTTTTTCAAAGATTTTCTTTCCCCTACTTACATAATATCCTTTTCCCTTTAGTTGATCTTCTACGCTGGTCTCTAGCTTTCATGTTAGAGGCATTCTTAGGATATCTAATAATTCTGACTGCTTGTGATGAAGAGCTGGCTCTCAGTGCCTTGATGGATCTTGTGGATCCTGAGCTTTACCCTGGGGTGATTTGAGCAGGCAGGTTGTTGAGAAGCCCCTATGTTAGTCTCTTTGAAACTTTCTTTTTGGTTTTGTAAGTTTCTCAAAGAAGTATTTTCAAATATTGCCCAGAATGTAGTGGTCTAACTGCCATTTTTCTGTAAATGAGATGGAGTCAAAGCCTAAGTATTCTGAATCAAAATGCATTTGAGGACTTCAACCGCGTATCTTCCTACCCTAAACTGTGCTTGTGTTTTACCTTCTTCAGAGACGAATTCTCCAGTCAGAGTTCTGTTAGGATGGGGTGAAGCAGTTTTCATCCAGTTCTCATTTTAGCCTCCTATCTCCTCAACTCCAGCTTTCCAGGTGGCTCAGTGGTAAAGAATCTGCCTGCCAAGAGCAGGAGACACAGGAGATGCGGGTTAGATACCTGTGTTGGGAAGGTACCCTGGAGGAGGAAACGGCAACCCCCTCCAGTATTCTTGCTGGGATAATCCCGTGGACAGAAAGCCTGGCGGGCTACATGCAATCCATGGGGTCGCAAAGAGTAGGACATGACTGAGCACACAAGCACACGCTCAACTCCCAATTACTGAAGTACCAGATGCTTCCAGGTTCTGATCCTTTTAAGGATTCTGCAGAGGGATTGGGGTTGATTTTCAGCCTTCCCCCTTGCCTTCTTGTGATTTGGTTTTCTTAGGTTTACTAGAATCATCCACATAGCCATTTGCTTTCCGATTAACAAAATTTTCGTTTTCTTTTCCTTTTTGGATTTTCCTTATCCTGTGCTTTTCATCTTTAAAAAAAAAATGCTGTTACTATATTTTCATTGGAGTTTTAAGTGAAAGTAAAATTAAATATTTATGTTCATTATGTCATTTTTAACTTTGAATGCTGAATGTATGACTTGCATTCTCTGGATTACTGGGTGAAATTGAGCCTTTAAAAAAAACTTCTTAGTTTCCCTTCATGATTCTTGCATTGAAAGTAGTGTATGGATTATCTTTGATGGTTTTCTGGTTAGATTGTTTAAATTTTATTAGTTCTCAAGTTTTATTTTTTTATATTTGGATCTTTAACCCATCTGGAGTTGATTTTTATGTATAGAGTGAAGTAGTGATTTGTTTTTTCCCCCCTGCAGAAAACCAGTTCCAGGACTATTTACTGAAGAATCCATGCTTTTCTCACTGATTTGTAATGCTAATTCTGTCATGTACAGTTGATCCTCATTATTTTCAAATTCTATACTTGCTAATTTGACTACTTGGTAAATTTATTTGTAAACCTTAAATCAATACTCAGAGCACAGTCCTGGTTATTTACAGATTTGAGTGGATGTGCAGAGGGCACCTAGATTCAAGTGGGAAGAAACAAAACTCTGCCCTCTTGTTTCAGCTCATACTATAGACAAGTGTCCTTTTCATGGTCAGTTCAGCGCTATGGTTTTGAATTTTTGTCCTTTGGTGATTTTGCTGTTTAGAATGTCTCCCACATGGAGTACCAGAGTACCGTGTAGTGTTGCTGAGGGCAAGAAGTCTTTGATGTACCTTACAGAGAAGATTTGTTGTTAGATAAGCTTTATTCAGGCTGTTAAACAATGCTCTTGGCTGTGAGTTCAATAGTAATGAATCAATAGTATGATATATCCAGGAAAAGGTAGAGGAAATTTACTGGTCTGTACATAAAGTTATTACAAAAAGTGCTAAAGTAGCATGTATTGTATGTGATTGAAGCTATGGAATCACCATTTAAATCACAGTTTAATCTTGAGTCTATCATCTAATTTTGGTTTTATTTTATTTTTGTAGTTTGAAACAGAGTGGAAAATTCCCTGGAAATCCTTGGCCACCTTATAAGAAAAGGACACCACTCCATCCCAGCTATAAAGGTCTCATGAGACTTTTGCACTGTAAAACTTTACACATTGTGCTATTCACTCTGCTTTACAAGGTACAGTAGTAATTTGACTAAGAAGACTAGATTAGAGTGTATTACCATAATTCTTAAATACAAATGCCAAAAGATAATATAAAAGTACCGTTTATAAAGCAAAGTGTATTTATATATTTAAGATGTATGAGGATATGTCATAATCACATGTATATAAATTGTATTCTTGTAATTTCAAATCTAAGTTGGAAAATAACAGAGCTACACCATTTGTTATGGGAAACTATTCATCTTATCAGTTTTAGACAGGAATTATTATACAATTAGATATAAAGAGAAAAAAACTATTGTTTCTTCTAATTAGAATTTAAAAAATTAAAAATTAACTTAAAAGTAAAAAGTATGCCTATTTGTTAACAAATTTCCAGTCACTACATATATATTATTTAAATTACTTAAGAAAATTAATATATTAAATTTAGTTAGCAAACATTTTGGTTTTTTTCTTAATGTTTGAGTCATAAACAAATATAGCTTTTAGATTTCTGTACCTCCTATTCTTTTTAACTCTACCCCCTGATTAGTTTTTCATTTTAGTTGCAAAAATTATTCCTGTTAAAATTTGAGACATGGGCCTCAAAAAAACCAATTGAATGGTTTATTTTCATTAATTTTTAAGAAAATTATTCAATAAAGTAATTTAAAATGTTCTTTTTTCATTAAAATAGAATATTTTTCTTATTAAAAGGATGTTTATAATTTTGATCTTTTATAGACATTTTTCAATGTTTACTTATGCCAGATTCTGTTTCAAATGCTTTGTATACACATATACACATTATTTTAATTCTAGTGGAAATCCTTATGACAGTTCTGTTTTTATTCTCATCTTTCAGATATGTCTTTTTAAACATTGTATTTTATATCTGGCTTCCCTGGGTCTTCACTGCTGCATGTGGGCTTTCTCTGTCTGGGGCGAGTGGGGACTGCTCTTCACGGCGGGGTGTGGGCTTCTCTTTGTGGGGGCTTCTCTTGTTGCAGAGCACAGGCTCAGCAGTTACGGCTCATGCGCCTGGCTGCTCCACAGCGTGTGGAGTCCTCCTGGACCAGGGAGTGAGCCTGTGCCCCCTGCATTGGCAGACGGATTCCCATCCACTATACTACCAGGGAAGACCTCAGAAATGTTTTTTGAGTTTTAGAGATTAAATAACTGAATAAGGTTAAATAAGTGAATAAGTCAGTAAATCTTGATTTAAAAATTAAAGAAGACTACTGCAAATGATTTGTGTCCTTTCAAGTTATATTTTTTCAACATTTTCATTTGTTTACTGTAAGAATAATATTTCCTCAAAAATAGAAAGGCAGTATTTAGTTGTTATAAGATTACTATGAATGAGTTTTTAAAAATCTCAGTTTTGTAATATCATTCCTGACTTTATGATAATAGAAGAACCTTTAGTTGACATTGCATTGGCAGGTCAACTTTCTAAAAATCAATGTCAGTAAACCATTTCGTCTCCTGCCATTTTTAATATTAAAAAACTTTAATATAGAACATGTTAATAAAACTCCCCAGAAACCATCCTCTTTTATTGTAGTACCTAAAAAAGTATTTTTGCTTCCTTAACCTTAAAGTTACACATTTGAAGCTGTAAGATGTAATGCCACAGGATCTCAAGCCAAAATTTATTTGATTTTAGCTAATGATGCTTTATTTATTAAAAGGAGGCAGAGTAGTAATGGTATGCAGTCATTGGAAGTCTGGATTCTGTGTTCTGGTGTTGCTTACGCTAGCTGAATGTGTGGCCGAGCCTTGGTTTCCTCCCTGTAAAGTCTTGGGTTAGAAAGGTTACCTCTGTTGCCTCTCAGCCTTCAGTCCCCTCTTACTGCTCTCCTGTTCTTCCCACCACCTGTCTACACCACCTCCCTACTGTTTGTTGAACACCAGTTGCTAGATACTGTATGAAGCAAATTACAGATGTTAATTACATAATCCTCATAATAATTCTGGGCTATTATTCCAGTTTTAAAGATGAGGAAACTTAAGACCAAATGTTGTTCAAGATCAAATAGCTAAAGTATATACAAAATTTGTATTAAAAAATCAGGTTTTTAAAAGGTTTTGAAAGTCTGTTCTCCTCACCATTGTGCCACACAAAATATGAATGGAAAAGTCTTCTCAGTAGTCAGATTGAACATTAGAAAATCAGTGAACTGGAAGTCTTAATTTTTTAGTCACAGTAGATGAGCTCCTAAGTGACTGAGGCCTTTCCAAGCCCTCTCTGCTGTTTGGGCAGTTTCTAGGAGGCTCAGCCTAGACTGGCCTCTCGTTTGTTCTCCCTAGTCTCACCTGCAACTGACAGTGCCACTCCCCACAGAATCTCTAGTTTGACTGGCTGGCCTTTTTTTTTTTTTAAATAATGAAGACAACAAGATGGCTACCAGGCTATTTTTTCCTTATGGTATTTTATGTGTCTTCTGGTTAATAGTTTGGTGCATCATACTGAATGAGTGATTGGTATAGGTTAGCCCACCGAGTCCTGCATAAAATGTGTAAGGCTTGCATAATCCATTTATAAGGTCAGATTTGTCAGTATTTCCTCAGAACAACCTCTCTCCTAACCACTTTATTCCTTTTTCCTTTCTTGTATAAACCACACATTGCATACACGTGTACACAGTGTATGCACATAACTGAACACTGAACACTGAGGTTCTGAGCTCAGAACGCTCAAGCTCAGGACTGTAATTTTAGAGATAGATTTTAAGAATATTAATGTTCCATAAACAATTATTTTGCTCCCAATTATATACCAGGTGCTATGCTAAGCACATTTGCATGAACTATCCTACTTAACAAACATTTATCTGATATCCTTGTAATCAGGAGAAAAGTGTCAATAACTTAGAATGTAAAATATTCTTGTTAAATTACTTTATTAGATACTGGTATTTTTATAATAATTGTTTTAGTGGATTATTTAATGTGTTAAACTTTAGGTGATCAGTGAACTAATGATTATGGATATTGCCTAAAATACTGTGTAATCCTGGGAAGGGATCCTGTTTTTTTGGCTTTAGTTTGTCTTTTCACCAAGGTGTATGTTTACTTACTTACATATCTGATTATGATATGTATAACACACATATGTATATATGATATGTATAACATGTATATATTATATGTATAACACACATATGTATATATAACACATATATATTATGTTACATTGGTCTATAAGGTTAAAATACTTTTTGATATTTAAGTGAAATATGTTTCATGGAAAAAAGTAATATGGGGCATTTTTTTCCCTTTTTAAAGATTTTGATGGATCATCAAAATCTTTCAGAACATGTACTCTGTATGGTTTTATATCTGATTGAATTAGGACTTGAAAATTCAGCTGAAGAGGAATCAGATGAAGAGGTAAGTAGTTTCTTATATTTGTAAATGTTAAAAGTTGTGATATGCCTTTAAAAGATTGCATGTCATCTTGAAGGTATTTATTTTGTCTGAGTATCATACTTAGAAAAAAATCTTAGCAACTTGGAAAAGACCCTTTTAAATCTTCAACTGCATATGTTCTTTTAGAGATTTCACTAATATATAAAACTCCCGTTTATAGAATTATTGAATTTGAAATTTGTAATTCATAATATGTAGCTCTAAGAAAAGTTGTTAGTGTATTTTTGTGCTGTGCTAAGATGCCCAGTTACGTCCAACTCTTTGTGACCCTATGGGCTATCGTGTGCCAGGCTCCTCTGCCCTTGGGATTCTCCCAGCAAGAATACTGGCATAGGGTGCCATTTCCTCCTCTAGGTGATCTTCCCAACCCAGAGATTGAACCTGCCTATCATATCCTGTGTTGGCAGGTGGGTTCTTTACCACTAGTGTCATTTTTGTAGTTACTGGTCAGGAAGATCCCCTGAAGAAGGAAATGGAAACCCACTCCTGTATTCTTGCCTGGAAAATCACATGAACAGAGGAATCTGGCTGACTACAGTCCATGAGGTCAGAAAGAGTTGAACATGACTGAGCAATTGAACTGCACACACACACACACACACACACACACACACACAGGTAAATAATTATGTTAGGACTTCAGTCTGGAAATTCTAATAATTTGATTAGGGATTTTATTTTTGAATAGCAAATTCTTTCTGTAAAGATTTTAAGTTAATGGAGTAAGTATTGTTGTAAGGGAGAACGTTTACTTGAGAATGTAAGTTGTTAATGTGTTTCAGGACTTTTATAAGTGTCATTTCCATGAAGGTAATTGTTAGTTACTACAAATTGATTTTACAGTTAATTGACATTTTTCTCATTGCCTCCACAAAAAGACAACAGCAATAGACAGACAAGTGAAAAGGCTAGGCAGTACTTAGTCTTAAGCTGAGTCAACATATATTCTTTCATAGATATTAAAAAGATCATTAATATTGCTCTAAGAATAAGTCAGACTTTTGATAGATTTTTCAGACTTCCTTCCACAGTTAGTCCAAATTAGCGTTATTTGACTGTATTATGAGTTATTTTTAATGAGTGGTGAAAAGTATCCTGTACTGTGTATTTCCAAATTGAAAAATGTGTTTTCTTCTGGAGAAGTTTAGCTGAATTCCATATTAGCATCGAGCAGTTTGTTTTTAAATTTTATGTTTGCATTTGGTTTTATTAGCACTTCGTAGTTTGTAAATGTGACTTTATGGGATTAAAGGATATAACAGGCAGTGAACTATTATTTGGGCTTGTTACATCTCCTCTGTACCTTGGACCTGACTGACAAGATTTGTATTCATTATGTTTATGTTTCAGGCATCAGCATGTGGACCTGAACGTTGTCATGACAGTTGGTTTCCTGGCAGTAACTTAGTATCGAATATGCGCCACTTTATAAATTATGTTAGAGTGAGAGTTCCAGAGACTGCTCCAGAAGTGAAGAGAGACTCACTTGCAAGTACCAGCTCTGATAGCTTGGGATCTTTACAAGTAAGTGTAAAAGTGAGATGAAAAAAGGGAAAGACTTCATTATATTAGGATGGGCATTTAGATCATCTTATCACATCCTAGGGCTTCCCTGGTGGCTCGGTGGTAAAGAATCCGCCTGCAATGCAGGAGACGCGGGTTTAACCCCTGGGTTGGGAAGATCCCCTGAAAAGGAGATGGCAACCACTCCAGTATTCTTGCCTGGGAAATCCCAGGGGCAGAAAAGCCTGGCGGGCTGTGGTCTATAGGGTTGAAAAGAGTTGAACACGATTTAGCAACAAAACAACAACAAAAACAGTCATATCCAAAAGAAAAATAAATGTGGTTACAGATAACTTTAAATTATCCTTTATATGTAAGCAACGCTGATATATCTAAGCAACTTCTGCCTCACCCATCTTTTTCCTTTAATCTGCCAGAGTTCACGTCGGCCTAAAGTTCTTCAAAGAGAGGTAGATGTATATGATACTTGCATTAACTAGCAGTGTGGCTTTAACTGGAAATGGGGACAAATGCTGAAATATTTGTGTGTATATGTGTGTGTTTAATTAATATGGTTAGAATAAAGAAACATTTAATGTATGTGTGCATTCTTTTTAAAATGCAGTAATTTAGGCTTAATTTTTAAAGAAAATCCATTTATTGAACTTAAAAAATAATACTGCATATTTAATAGTGAGCTTTCTTTAGTAGTGTTGGTATTTTGGGCCAATTATAAGCAGTACATTTTGTTCTGTTTACATTTAGCATTGTTACTAACATCTTAAAAATGAATGTTTCCGAAATCAAAATAAATTTTATCTTTAGTTGCTGGTGGCATGCCATTCACAACACCCCCTTTTTTTTTTTTTTGCTTATATGATTATCAGTTTTTTTTTTTGCTTATATGATTATCAGTTAATTAACTGATAAAATAAGCCCACAAAAAGCTTAAACTTCTTATGTTGTGTATTTGGACTCATTTAAAAAATAAACTGTCTTATTGCATGTAGCTTAATTAATTTATAAAAAGCAGAAATGAAAAATCTTGAAATGACATGGCAAGTAACTAAACTTAAATACCTCTAATTCCTACAATCTAGATTTTTGCAAGTAAAGAACATTGAATCATGCATTTCTTATTGAAGAGTTCATTTGTAGGAACTTTGTCTTTGACAGTATGCTTTTTCTGTGAACACATAAAGAATTTTGATTAAAATATTGCAGTCTGTAAGAGGCAGCTTTTGCCTCTAATGCTGGTAGAGGGAACTTTGACAAACAGCTTGGACATTAAAAAAAAATAATGTATATTAAGCTCATAAAAGCTCAGTTGATTGAAGCATTGTTTCTATGCTTGCTTGAAAAAATTTAGTGAAATCTATTAAACTGACTTGTATCTTTTTTTTAATTTATTTTTATTAGTTGGAGGCTAATTACTTTACAATATTGTACCCTATATGCAAGACAAAGAGACACAGATGTATAAAACAGACTTTTAAACTGACTTGTATCTTAATTAAAAGATGACTTCTAAGAGCCCTAATGTAGTTTGACTGCTTTAGCAAAAAGGCTATTTTGAAGATAAATTATTGAGAAAAATAGTTTAAAAAAATCTGTTCAAATAAATAATTATAGTTGTATTAAATATGAAACAGATTAATTTTTCATCTTTTTATTTCACTTTAGTAACTTAAAGCATTTATGTTAGAAGTAATTTTCAAACTTTTAAAGTTCTTTAAAAATGAAATTAATTAGCAGTTGAGATTCATTAACTTGGAAAAAATTAATTTATAATTTTCTTAAGTGGAAGATATCCCGTGGTCTTCTAGAAGTTAGTCAGGAGTGTAGTATTCTTGATGTATATTGGGTAGCTTTGATTCCTTTAAACTGATGAAAGACTTAGTTTATGATTCCTTTTGAATATGGCTGTAGATACTGCTGAACCTCTGTCTATTTTCCCTGATAGGCTTTGGGGGTTGCAGAAGAAGTATTACTATGGATAATCTCCTTTTTCTCATTGTTGTTTCCAGGTTGAGTGGGACTAAGTATATTTGAGAGAAGTCAAGGGACAAATTTACTTCAAGAACAAATCTATTAAATAAACCTTTGGATGAAACTTTGAACATACCCTTTGGAAAATGTAATGCTAATGTATTTTAAAACTGAATGTGAATAACCTCTTGATTTTTATTTCTTTCTCATTTGAATGGTAGAATTCTGGTACAGCTCAAGTTTTCAGCTTAGTAGCAGAGCGCAGAAAGAAGTTTCAGGAGATCATCAATCGCAATAGCAGTGAAGCAAATCAGGTGGTTCGTCCTAAAACTTCAAGTAAATGGTCTGCACCTGGTTCAGCTCCACAGTTAACTACAGCCATTTTGGAAATTAAAGAAAGTATATTGTCTTTGTTAATTAAACTTCACCACAAACTCTCAGGAAAACAAAATTCCTACTATCCTCCTTGGCTTGATGACATAGAAATTTTAATCCAACCAGAGATTCCTAAATACAGTCATGGAGATGGTATAACTGCAGTAGAAAGAATTTTACTAAAAGCTGCATTGCAAAGCAGAATGAACAAACGCATCATTGAAGAGATATGTAGAAAAGTGACCCCTCCTGTACCACCCAAAAAGATTACTGCAGCAGAGAAGAAAACACTGGACAAAGAAGAAAGGTAATTGTTATTTTTAGTGATTTAAACTAATGTATGATGCAGTTGAAGATTTTATATTACCACCTCCACCCTGACTTTTGGTCTTCTGAGGCTAGCTATAATCATACCTGATTAGTTTGTAAGAAGAGGGAAATCAAAGATAGTCATTGCTTGTGCGTTTAGCGTGCTTGAGTTGGTTGAGTTTCTATTCAGTGGCTCAGTTGTGTCTGACTCTTTGCAACCCCATGGACTGCAGCATGCCAGGCTTCCCTATCCATTGCCAACTCCCAGAGCTTGCTCAAACTCATGTCCATTGAGTCGGTGATGCCATCCAACCATCTCATCCTCTGTTGTCCTCTTCTCCTCCTGCCCTCAATCTTTCCCAGCATCAGGGTCTTTTCCAGTGAGTCAGTTCTTTGCATCAGGTGGCCAGAGTATTAAAGTTTCAGCTTCAGCATCAGCCCTTCCAATGAATATTTCCTTTAAGAAATATTTAGGAAATAAGAAAATTTAGGAAAGGACTGATTTCCTTTAGGATTGACTGGTTTGATCTCCTTGCAGTCCAAGGGAATCTCAGGATTCTTCTCCAACTTCACCGCTCAAAAGCATCAGTTCTTCGGCCCTCAGCTTTCTTTATAGTCCAACTCTCACATCCATACGTGACCACTAGAAAAACCATAGCTTTGACTAGATGGACCTTTGTCAGCAAAGTAATGTGTCTGCTTTTTAATATGCTGTCTAGGTTGGTCATAACTTTTCTTCCAAGGAGCAAGTGTCTTTTTATTTCATGGCTGCAGTCACCATCTGCAGTCATTTTGGAGCCCCCCAAAATAACATCTCTCATTGTTTCTGTTGTTTCCCCATCTATTTGCCATGAAGTGATGGGACTGGATGCCGTGATCTTAGTTTTTTGGATATTGAGCTTTAAGCCAACTTTTTCACTCTCCTCTTTCACTTTCATCAAGAGGCTGTTTTTAGTTATTCTTCATTATCTGCCATAAGGGTGGTGGCATCCGTGTAGCTGAGGTTATTGATATTTCTTCTGGCAATCTTGATTCCATCTTGTTGTTCATCCAGCCCACCACTGACCCTGACATTAAATTACAACTCTAAACTTGTAGACCCCTTTGGAAAAGTTGCTTTTATTTCTGTGGGGAACCTAATAATTCTGCTTTTTTTTTTTTTTAAGTATTAATTCAACCTTAAGGTCTTCCCTGGTATCTCAGACAGTAAAGAATCTGCCTGCAATGCAGGAGACCCAGGTTCAATCTCTGGGTTGGGAAGATCCTCTCGAGAAGGGAATGGCAACCCACTCCAGTATTCTTGCTTGGAGAATCCCATGGTCAGAGGAGCCTGGTGGGCTATAGTTCATGGGGTCATGAAAAGTCAGATACAACTGAGCAACTAAGCATGCATGCACAAACCTGTAGACCCCTTTGGAAAAGTTTCTGTCTGTTACTACTGTGGGAAATCTAATAATTCTCTTGCTATTTAAAAAAATTATTAATTCAACTTTAAATGATAGTAGAAAATAAAAGAAAAATTTTAATAGTCCTTAAAAATTTGTTTTAGTTTCTTTTAGTGCTTTCCAGTCTTTCCTGTATATGATCACAAATTGTTAAACAAGCTGTGTTTTAAAACTTTGATGGTTTTAGCTTTTGAAACTTTAGGTTGCTTTTAATCTGTTGTTAAATCATAATATTTATAAAATCTCTCCCTTTTTCTTTGGACAGTGTTCTGTTTACCAAGATAAAGGAGGATAGGTGGCTCAGGATTAGCGGTAGAATTGACTTGCTCAGTTTTGTATGTTACTGAGTTTAAGGAAGGGATCCAGGTGAAGATGTCCAGTTAGATATAGGGTTAGAGACTTAGGTGAGAATTCTGAGTGAGAGCTACAGATTTAGGCATATAGGTAATAGATAGAGCCTTGTGTGTGGAAGAGGATGGACAATAAAAAAATGAGCACACTTAGTATATATAAAACTCAAGAGACAAACATAAAGAGGAATAACTGAGGAAGGAGCACCTACAAAGGTGACTCAAAATGGGTTGGTTAGAGTGAAATAAGAGGAAAACTGCAGAGAATGGCATTAGAGAGGCATAAGAGGAGGGTCAGAAAGGAAGAAAGATTGTTAAATGCTATAGAAGTTTAGTTAAGATTGGCAGTCCCGTTTGATTAGTTAGGAGGTCATCCTTTGGTAACTGTATCAGAAGCAAATTTAATCAAACATAGCTGTTCTTCATTTTTGGCATAATTTTGTTACAGATAGTTTATAATAAAACTATACACAAAATTTTTAGTACATTAAAAATTTAGGAGAGTTCTTATTTCTCATAGTACTTTATAAATAGAAGTTGTAATATAATAACATAATTTAGGTGAAAGTTCATTAACTTTGAATTGGTAGCTACCTAGAATTTAATAGATAATATTGGACAGTTAAAAATGAGGTAAATTTTTTTTGTTGTTAACTAAAATTGGTCCTCTTCTAAATTGGTCATCTTTTGTTTTGGTTATAGAATAATGTCTGTTTATTTTTTAAGGAAGATAAAAACATTCAGTGAATCAAAATTTATTCTACTTGGTTAAAGGCATTTTGTCATTATTATTCATAACAGATACAGATACTAGAGGACATAGTTCAGATGCTGTTTTCTTCAGTTCAGTTCAGTCCAGTCGCTCAGTCGTGTCTGACTCTTTGTGACCCCATGAATTGCAGCACTCCAGGCCTCCCTGTCCATCACCAACTCCTGGAGTTCACCCAGACCCATGTCCATCGAGTTGGTGATGCCATCCAGCCATCCCATCCTCTGTCTTCCCCTTCTCCTCCTGCCTCCTATCCCTCCCAGCATCAGATGAGTTAACTCTTCGCATGAGGTGGCCGGAGTATTGGAGTTTCAGCTTCAGCATCAGTCCTTCCAATGAACACTCAGGACTGATCTCCTTTAGGATGGACTGGTTGGATCTCCTTGCAGTCCATGGGACTTTCAAGAGTCTTCTCCAACACCACAGTTCAAAAGCATCAATTTTTCGGCACTCAGGTTTCTTCACGGTGCAACTCTCACATCCATACATGACCACTGGAAAAACCGTAGCCTTGACTAGACGGACCTTTGTTGGCAAAGTAGTCTCTGCTTTTTAATATGCTGTCTAGGTTGGTCATAAGTTTCCTTTCAAGGAGTAAGCATCTTTTAATTTCATGGCTGCGGTCAGCATCTGCAATGATTTTGGAGCCCCCAAAAATAAAGTCTGACACTGTTTCCCCATCTATTTCCCATGAAGTGATGGGACCAAATGCCATGGTCTTAGTTTTCTGAATGTTGAGCTTTAAGCCAACTTTTTCACTTTCCTCTTTTACTTTCATCAAGAGGCTTTTTAGTTCCTCTTCACTTTCTGCCATAAAGGTGGTGTTATTTGCGTATCTGAGGTTATTGATATTTCTCCTGGCAGTCTTGATTCCAGCTTGTGCTTCTTCCAGCCCAGCATTTCTCATGATGTACTCTGCATATACGTTAAACAAGCAGGGTGACAATATACAACCTTGACGTACTCCTTTTCCTATTTGGAACCAATCTGTTGTTCCACGTCCAGTTCTAACTGTTGCTTCCTGACCTGCATGTAGGTTTCTCAAGAGGCAGGTCAGGTGGTCTAGTATTCCCGTCTCTTTCAGAATTTCCACAGTTTATTGTTATCCATACAGTCAAAGGCTTTGGCATAGTCAATAAAGAAGAAATAGATGTTTTTCTGGAACATTCTTGCTTTTTTGATGATCCAGCAGATGTTGGCAATTTGATCTCTGATTCGTCTTTTTTTTACAAAGGCTCTAATGCTGTTGTAATAAATAGTATCCTAAAAATTTAAGGCTTTTTTTGTGGGCTTGTTCCCTTTGAGTGATGATAGTATTGACAAGGACTTGAAACTAATTCTGTAGCAGACAGCTAACAATTAAAATGAATCAGTTTGAATCTTGCTATGCTTCTCACATTTTTTTTTCTCAATTTATTTTGGGTTTTGGGTTAAATTTCATAATAAAGGCAGAACAGTTTATATACACGTAATGATCTATTCCCAGATACCGCAGCTGTAGACAAACTTGACATCACTTTCATAATAGATTGATGGTGGTTTAATCCCTAAATCATGTCCCACTCTTTGGAACCCCATGGACTTATCCCACCAGGCTCTACTGCCCATGGGATTTCCCAGGCAAGAATACTGGAATGGGTTGACATTTCCTTCTCCAGGGGATCTTCCCAACCCAGGAATCGAACTTGAGTCTCTTCCATCTCTTGCACTGGCAAACAGATTCTTTACCACTGCACTGCCTGGGAAAAGCCCTCATAACGATTAACTCCATAGAAAACTAGATACAAATAGAAAACTCTAAAGGGTTGTAACCAAATGCAACCTTAGTATGTCTACTTCTTAGGTCATAATGGAAAATTGCTGAGTTGTATGAACCTGCTAGAACTTGTGTCTTTTTGTTAATGGTCTTTATGTACCTTTATGTCCAAGTTTAGAAAGGAATAACCTAAATTATGAAAAAATTCACAAGGGAAAAATAACACTCCTTTTCTAGAAATCATAGACAACTACTACAGAAATACATTGTTAAAAACACAATTTAAAACGATATGCATATATTTTCTTGTTTCTGTTGAAGTCACCTGGTGTGACTGAGTCTCTGCTCAGTCTCACAGACTAAAGTTGACAGACATAATTATCTATAATTTATAGTAATTCCAGAATATAAATGAATTTTCTCTAAAAAATTCATTTATTTATTTTTGGCTGTGCTGGGTCTTTCGTTGCTTTTCTAGTCCAGAGAGTGGGGGCTGCTCTCTCGCTGTGGGTCACGGACGTCTCGTGGTGGCGTCTCTTGTTGTGGAGCGCAGGCTCCAGGTGCGTGAGCTTTAGTAGTTGTGACTCGCAGGCCCTGGAGCGAGGGCTCAGTAGTTGTGGCGCAGGGGCTTAGTTGCTCTGCGGCATGTGTAATCTTCTGGGACCAGGGATCAGACTCGTGTCACCTGCATTGGCAGGCAGAGTCTTATCCACTGTGCCACCAAGGATGTCCTTGAAATGAATCTTAATACTAGTACCCATCAATTTTCTTAAGAAAACCTCTAATATGATTGAATGGCACTGGCATTAAAATTCATTTCTAGGACTTTCGTGGTGGCACAGTGGATTAGATTCTGCTTGCCAGTGCAGGCAAAATGAGTTTGGTATTCAGATTTGTTACTTGAAATAGTATTTTGTGAACCTGTATGTTCTAAATGTAAATGTACATGTACATATTTAAAGGTCAGCTGTAGAGTGCATAGGTCATTGTTTTAATTAAAGAAACAGTGAAACTTACTAGTTTATGAAGGAGTAGTATAGAAGACCAAACACATATTCTATCACTGCTATTATTATTTAAATATTTTTGGAGGTCTCATAGTTCTTTGAGCATCTACAGCACATTTTTGTTTTTTTCTGTTTCTTCCTTAGTGACAAATTTTAGTCCTTTGAGGATGGGTTTAATTTTTAAAACCTTTTTATTTTGAAAAAATCTTAAACTTACAGAAATGTTTCAAGGATAATACAGAGAACTTTCTGGATCATTTCAGAGTAAGTTGTTTTACAGTGGAATACTTGAGTGCATAGTTTTTAGAAATAAGGGCATTTTCTTATATAATCACAATACACCTTTCAAAATAAAGGAATTAGCATTTTACTGAGTATGATAAAATCCTTAGATCCCAAATTTTGACAGTTGTTCCAGTAATGTTGGTTATACCAGAAAGATCCTGTCCAGAATCACTCGTCATATTTTGTTGTCGTATCTCTTTGATTTCCTTCAGTATGGAATAGTCATCCCATTTTCCTTTATTTTCTTGACCTTAGCACTTTTGAAAATTACAGAGCAGTAACACTGTAAAATATCCCTCAATTTGGGCTTGTCTACTTTTCCATTATGCTTGGATTTGGATGATACATCTTTGAGAACAATATCAAAAAAGTGTTGCTGGGGTGTTTCGTGGTGGCTTAGTGGTTAGGATTCTCAGCTTTCATTGCTGTGGCCCAGGTTCAGTTCCTGGTTAGGGAACTAAGATTCCACAGCTTATGTGGCCCAGCCCAAAAAAAAAAAAAAAGGGCAGAGTGGGAACGTTGCTGTTTTGTTTTGACTGCATCCCATCAGTTGTCACATGATTTTAATTTGTTTCATGACTACTGATTAACTTTGATCACTTGATTAAAGGGGTATCTGTTAGACTCCACTGTCAAGTTACTCTTTGTAAATATCCTCCCCTTCCTCACCTTTGTAATTAGTATGTGTTAATAATTTGTGGAGAGATACTTTGAGATGCTTCAGTATTCTGTTCTTCATTGTTTCAGTTCATTCATTTATCTGCTTGTATCAGTTTAGAGTTACAGATTTCTGTTTTACTTTATGAGCTATGATCTGCTCATTAATCATTTTGATGCTCGGATTGTTCTAGATTTGACCAGTGGGAGTCCCTTCAAGCTGGTTTCTGTGTTCTTTGTATTTCTCTCCCCACCATTCTTTGATTATTTTCTTATTTCCTGGGCCAAGAAGATAGCCCAGGTTCATCTTTTTTTTATATTAGACATTTGTCCAAATAGTCTTGGTTACTTTTAGTGGGGAATGTTACTTGGAAACCAGTCTATGCACTCATTCTAATGAGCTCATTCACAGACTCTCTTAGTGATCAAAAAGGGTGTGCACAAGAGGGGGATATAGTGAGGGGAGAGAGAGGTATTGAAAACTATGACTGTGAGTTCAACCTGATAATCCCAATTCTAATCCAGCACCATAGGATTTATTCATCTTTTCTCTCTTTTCATAATTATAGCTCTCTTGTCCCACAGTGAGAAACCTGACCCCTATAATCCTTAATAGTATTAATTTTTTATTAGTTCCCTTGTATGTAACCAATTTCTTATAACTTTTCCCTGCATGAATGCCCTCCTGTGCCAGGCTGTCGGGTCTTGACACCCCGTCCTAGGCCACTGTGTCACCTTCCATATTCAGGAAGGAAGGAGAGGGCAGGAGTGGTTTTTAATATTTTTAGATGGCTAATGTCTTTGGGAGTCAAGTTTGATGAGTAGACTTGAGTGATCACCCCAGATGATAATATTTTGGTTTAAACATAAAAATGTAAGAGTTGTATTTACAAAATAGATAATAAAATTAGTTTTCTTATGTGGACCCTAAATTATATTTAAAGTAAATATTAGTAAAGGAATGTTAAAAATCTCTTGAACTGTATTGGCAGATATATGTCACTTACATGGCAGCCCACTCCAGTGTTCTTGCCTGGAGAATCCCAGGGACGGGGGAGCCTGGTGGGCTGCCGTCTGTGGGGTCACAGAGTCAGACACGACTGAAGCGACTTAGCAGCAGCAGCAGCAGCAGGGTAAACTGATCCATAGTACTTGATTTTATAGATGTTTGTGATTATCTCCACTAAATGGGTGGGAGCAGATGTATAAATAATCTTAAAATTACTATTAGCATTCCATTCTTCTAAATTCTATCTTCTGTATCCTTGAATCATTTCAGATTAATAACTGAATTCTTTTAGGTTTCCCATAGAAATAACTTCATAGAATCTCAGTTTAATAAAATTCTTTTGCAGTAGATAAATATAATGAATAGTCATTAAAAGAAACTTCTATAGTGTATTACATCCATTATGTTTTCAATGTCCTTTGTATCATGGGCTGTGTTAAATTCCTTTTTGAGTTTTGTTCCAAATGAACAGTTTGTCTTTCCCGATGGGTTAATATATAACACACCTTTAAATCTTTTTTATTCTTCCTCTCCCTCCTCTCTTGTGTTGAATTATTTTATTAACCTTACCTTTCTGGGGGTAGAATTTTATGCTTATTAGTATTACTAGCATCTTTAAATCTGGGGAAACCTATCTCCTATCTTTATTAGTTTACTTTTATTTTTTATACTTATAGTACACTCTTTTTTTTTTTTTCCTGCAGTTAACCTCAGACTAAAATGCTCTTTGGAAGTAGATAAGGGATAATTAATAAATAGAATAAAGTGAATTTATTTTCTTTTACTTCAAACAGAATAAGCCAAATTTGTGCTGTTGCCTAGTAGAAACTAGAAAACTTCCTGGCTTTTTGTTAATCCTCTTTTAGGAGAGACCTTTTCTTAAGGTAACAGTAAATCTGACTATTTTTACCTTTTAGATTCTTTTCATAGCTTAACATAATAGTTTCTTCTAGCAGTGAGCTTGCTATTATTTGTACCTGGGGTTAAATTATGAGTTTTTAGCTAAAGCTTTTCTTGCTCTTACTATGAACTGACATATACTTAGGAAATTGTGTAGTTGGAAAATTTTTTGTCTACTTTAATTATTATTTCACATTTTAAAGTAAATTTTTTCTTTAATTTTTACCTGTTTACGCCTAGTGGTTTTCAGACCATTTTAAAGCAGCAGAATCCTTTAAGGACAATAAAACTTTACATGAAATTTAAAACATAGTACAAAAATTTGGTTGTTCCTAACTGTGTGTCAGGGACCCTTTCATACATTATATACTCCTGAAAGATAGTAGATATGTCTTAAGTGTGTCTGGTACTTAACACTTTATTTCTGTTTAATCTAGGCGACAAAAGGCTAGAGAAAGACAGCAGAAATTGCTTGCAGAGTTTGCATCACGACAGAAAAGCTTCATGGAAACTGCCATGGATGTTGGTAAGTCAAAATTTATTAGTTTAGAACACTCATACTTAGAGTTATTACCATAGGACTTATCCAGTCCTATCATCCATCAGTTTTTAACATTATAGACAGATGATTTCTGGTCTTTCTTGATCAATGGAGTGAGGGAAGATCAGACCTTTATTATAGGTGGTCCATTCTGTTGTTGAGTTAGCTGCAATTGTTAGAAAGTTCTTGATGGTAGTAATACAGTAGTATTCTGCTACTCTCTTCTGTTAAACTGCCCTTTAGATTTATAAGGTTCATCAATATGAACTTACTTACTCTGATTTTTTCACGTGAAATTATTCTAAGATCCTTAAAATAGTTTTCAGATACTTTAAGTTTCTCTTGCTGCTCACACGTTCACTGTTTCTTAAAATCGGGTGCACCTCTTATTTCCATTAGGATTAGTATTAGCATTTTACAATGAGAGAGGATGCTATTTTCCTGTGTGACAGACAGTACAATCTTGTGAGTAATCTCTTACAGACATAGGAGAACTAGATTAAATCTCGATTAATCTGTCTTCAGTTAATAGGATACTCTTTTCTCTGACTACTTCTTGCATTTCAGTGATTTCTCTCTCTCTTTTTTTTACTTTTAGACAAAAATGCTGAAATAAAATACAAGAATGTATGTTCAAACATGCAAATACATTCTCATGCACATAAGCACATGTAACTGATATTCAGAAGAGGAGGGTCAGTCCAGATTTAGCATAATGTGTTCTAAACCATCAACAGTGGAGTTTATGTTCAGGATATAACTTTGATGTAAAGTATACTAAGTTCTGTTTGTTGGATTAACTTGCTATCGGTTGACTTTCTTATATGAAAGTTGACGATTTAGTTCATTGATACTGCTTTTCTGTTTTCTGTGTTTTCTCTTCCTCCTTCTTTCCAAAAATGGATACTTGCAAGTTTTTGGTTTTTACACATTAAAGATAATTCTAATATCTTTTAAATGTTCTATCTATAACCAGTTTCTTCATATCTCTTCATGTAAAATGAACTAGTAAGCACCCCTATCTTTCATTTTTCTTCTCATCATCACTACCTTCTGCTTTTTAGAAGTTACTTGTTTTCTTTTTTAACATATCTTTTTATTTATTTATAATTTTTGGTTGTGCTGGGGCGTTGTTGCTGTGTGCTGGCTTTTCTCTAGTTGCGGTGAATGGGGGTCTACCTTACGGTGCACGGACTCCTCAGTGTGGTGGCTTCTCTTGTGAAGCATGGGCTGTAGGCGCACGGACTTCAGCAGGCAGGCTCAGTAGTTCCTGTGCACAGACTTGGTTGCTCTGTGGCATGTGGAATCTTCCTGGACCAGGGATCAAACCTACGTGCCCTGCATTAGTGGGTGCATTTTTATCCACTCTGCCACCAGGGAAGTCAACTTGTTTTCTTTTAAATTAACATTGCTAACATTTTATTTTGCAGTTGCAGTCAAGTCTTCCATTCAAAGGTTTATTCTAAATGTTGAAAAACATCAAGATAACTTTTTGAATGCTGTTGACTTCAGGGCTAAATAATAGCCTAGTATTCATCTATTTTCTTTGACTCCAGTGACGTGACTCCTAGACTGCATTAAGGAGATTGTATTTAGTACATAGCCTCTTTTCTTACAGTCTTGCAACTGCTTAAACTATACCACCCTTTACTCATTTCTATTTGTTATTTTGTCTTTTGTTTTTCCTGAAAGTTCCAACTACCTTTTTTTCTAACTAACATGCCTTTTTGATATCCCTGTTATTCTGCCCACTCAATCATCCTTTGCATAGAATTCTGTTCCAGTCTGGTCCATTTGCTCTGTAGGCATGCTGTACATCTATCACCTTGGAACTTTCCTCTTACAGGGTTCATCTGGTGTTTCCTGCATCTTATCTCTTTTTGGAGGTCTTGTTTTATTGGAGTGCAAGTATATTCACAGAAATGCTTGTACTGGAAGTTAAACTTTCTGATTCTTTTTATTTCCAGATGGGACTCTGGTTTGCTCTTGTGCTTGATTGTTCATTTGGATGAATGTAAAATTCCCTGTTAATACACATTTTTTGTTACACCTGATAAAGAACTACTCTCTTGTCTTTTACCATTAATTTGATAAGAAGTGTGGTGGTAATTTGATTCTTATTCCTTTGTGAGTTAGCATTTTTTTTCCCTTTCTTGTGACACTTTTATAACTGTTTGATTCTTAGAGATATGAAGTTTTGTGATATGTATCTAGGTGAATCTTTTTCATTCTCCTTAGTACTTAATGGACCTTTTCAGGCTGAAAAGTCATGTATCAGAAGCTCTGAGAAAAATATTTCCTATGATTTTCTTGATGAACTAGTATAGCCATCTTCCAAGATGACCCTCCATGATCCATACCACCTAGTCTTTATGCCTTGCGTGCTCTACTCTGACGTTGTGTCAGAATTGGTATTCATGATCACTGGGACATGGCAGAAGTGATGATAGGTCATTTCTGAGATTAGGTTATGAAAGATATGGTGACTTCTGTCTTGACTGCTTTTCTCTCTCTCTGATTACTTATTCTGGGGAAGGCCAGCTGCCCTGTTGTTAGCAGCCTGATGGAGAAGCATATGTGGTTAGGGACTGAAGCCTCTGGCCAGCAGTCCTGTAAATAAGCCTGAATGTGAATCTGTCAGCCCCTTTCAAATTTTTAGAAGATACTGTCCAGCTGTTTGTTTAATAGCAATCTCACGAGAGATCCTGAGCCAGAACCATCAAGCTAAATTGCTCCCAGATTCCTGACCCTCAGAAAACTATTGTTTTAGGCCACTGAATTTTGGGTAATTTGTTAAACAGCAGTAGATATTATAATACTTTTCTCCATATATTTTCTTTATTCTCTTTGGTGGGACTCTGATTATTTGGATATTGGATCTCTTAGATTGATGTTTTAATCTTCTGTCTTTTTTATATCTATTTGCTTTACATGCTTAGAGGTTTCTTCTCTTTAATATCTTGGTATTTGTCAAAAGAATTTGTTCTCAAATCTTTCTGAATGTGTTAGTGTGCTAACATATTATAAATTATCCTTTATCCTTCTGAATTGCGTAGAAATTTAAGTTACTCTTTCATGTTGTTAGTTTCCCTCGTTTGCCTGATAATTGTTGATTCCTCTGGAAAGATGGCCTGTTATCCTGCTGAGGTCTAAATAGGTTTGATCCTAGTAATTCTCTTTGGCCTATGTATGGATGAGGCGGGTTGACTGTCAGACTTAGATCTGGGTGGAAGGATTGCCGACTACTCTGTTTGGGCCCTCAGATGTTAACACTCAAGTAGAAAACCCTCTTACTCTCCAAGCAGCTTGTTCAGTTCCTTTAGAGAAAGACAGTCATTTTTTCCTCCTTATGGTAAATGCCAAATTATCTGAGTGTTCTGTCAGTCAAAGTTGGGGAGGGAATGGGGTGCTGAGTAGTGAAGTTATGTATATAGACTTCTGAATAATTATTCTGCTTTCAGAATCACTTAATACCTAACACTTCTATCCTCTGCCTCACTGACTGATTCTGAGCACAGAATTGACATTCTTCTAACGGACCTATCAGTTCTTCCTTTCTGTAACCTTCTCATAATACATACATGGTTGTAGCTCTTATGACTTTCTTGCATTGTCAGCGTGTCTCCATCTCCTCTAATCTTTTGGAAATTTTACTGACGTCTCTTATTTGTTGGTTGGTGAAACTCTTTCACGACTCCATCATTATTCTGTATTCTTACGCAAATATTTCTTTATGTATATCTTCACTTTTATTTCTAAAGTGGTTTTCTAAAAGGAGTGGAGATAAAAGTATGTGCTCAGTCTTCAGTCTTGATTAGCCACTCACTAATATTTGCTATTATAATGTATAAAATTAAAATTTCTGTTATTATAAAAGCATTAAAATTTTATTATGGAAACTTAGAAAACACATATAATGAAAAATAAAATAATACTATATTTTTACTATTAGATTTCCTAATCTAGGCTATATCCTTACAAATCTTTTTCTAAGTATATTTGTGTATAAAGGTGTTTTTTAGCCAAAATGAAATAATTTCATACATGCTGTTTATTCTTATGAAAAATTTCAAGTATACAGAAAAACTGAAGGAATAGTATTAGAAATTACCATGTACCATGTGACCTAGTTAACATTTTTCTTAATTTGTTCTTTCACTCACTCTCTTTCTTCCTCTACTAGATGAAGTAAGTTACAGACATCATGATACTTTACTCCTAAATACTTCAACATACATATCCTAGGATTTAGAATATTCTCCTACTCAAGCACAATACACCATATGTAAGCAAATTGCTTTTTCTTTCCAAATAAAATAGCTTCAAAATACCAACCTGGGTATTATGTTAAACAATGAAATCATTGAATTAAAATTTAAAAAATTTAAAATTGTTTACAGACCATTTTATCCTTTGGTAATTCTACTAAGGGTAATAGTCAAAAGCTCTGTGTTCTGAAGTCACTTGAGAGCAGCATTTTTGGGGGAGTTAATTTAACGTTTTGGTTTGTTTTTTTTGCAACCTTAGGAGCTAAGAAAATAAGCTTAGTGAATACTGTTTTTAGAAATTGTTTTTATCTGTTGCCTCCCACTCCCAAATGAGATAAAACAAAAACAATTTTCTGAGGAATTGATTAAGCAAAGTATCCAGAAGAGGTTAGGTAGTATTGTCTTGAATAGGAGAATGGCCACCTCATTCCCTGAGCAGACGGGAGAGGAGAGGGAAAGCATGGATGGAGATAGAGGTAAGTTCCTTTAGGGGTAGGGAAAGTGGGAACTTCAGGTGATCACTCAGTTGCTTCAGTTTGCAGGGCTAAGTAAAAGGTGAGTTTTGCTGAGTGAAAAGCATACCATCTGGAAGTTTGGAGAAGTTGCTAATGAAAATGGGAGATGTTGCTCATCCAGGCTAAGTATAAAAATTGATAAGCAGTGCTTAGGGTCCAATTATGTTCAAGATCATAAATTTGAATGTCATTAGTCTGCAAA